ATTTTTATGGTGTGTTTGTGTGTGTGTGTGTGGATGTGTATACATACATACACACACATACACACACATACACACAAATGTTCACCTTTTTGAGCTTCCAGATCAAGTTCATATCCATTGGCCTATTTGATCCTTAGCTGCTCTGCAACGACAGGTACATTAAGGCAGAAAAGACTGCAGCCTCACAAATGAGAGTTTCAGCTTCAGATCTTAGATTTTCTAAGCTGAAACTTGCTGTCACTAGAGATGTGCCCTTCAAGGCAAGCCAGGATGTGACTAATTTGTCTCAGGGCTCAGAAGTTTGCTTTGAGGGGCCGCATCCAGGCTTCAAGCCCATCAGCTGCTTAATAGAGTCTTCTTTAACTCTCCTGTCCCAAATATTCTAAGTTTGAGATTTTCCAGAACTTAATGTTATGTAACAGTATCTTTTGCCTACAAGGCCCTACTTTTAGTACTGCCATTGGCGTTGACATCTAATGTCAATGAAACATTTGAAAAAGGTACAGGAGAGGTGATGTGGGTTGTAATGGTAAATGTTTTGATATTCACACACTTTGAGTTAGTGTCTTCTGGGAATCCATCCTAAAGGAATGCTCTCATTTTCAGGAAAAGGCTACACAGATATACAAATGTTCTCTGTAACCTTATTTAAGAAGGCTTTAAGTTCTTTAGGAACCTTGGGTAAATTAAGTGAAATAATGTCAGGGAATCCTTGCGTGGCATTGTAGGTTTATTAATTTTACCTTCCCTTATAATGGCATACCATTTTCACTGTAGTCGACCCTACACTTCTTAATCCCCTAGGACTGAAATTAGTTCCTTGAGAGCAAAGAATGCTGCATAGTAGCCATTCAGATGTTGGCTAGTTGGGCTGTGCTGACCTCCACCATCGTGAAGGGTGTTCTTTCCTTCATTGCTAACCTGCTGCCCCACCTGGTTCCAGGCCCCACAGCCTGCAGTCCATGTGCAGGGACAGGAGCCCCTGACCGCCTCCATGCTGGCCGCAGCACCCCCGCAGGAGCAGAAGCAGATGCTGGGTGAGTGACCCGTGGACTTGCAGAAGAGGGGCCCAGACCTGGTATTGGCCTGGATTCCAGCACCCGCTCTTGACTGATTAGACCTGATTTTTTATAAATATCCTTCCCACAGGAGAACGTTTGTTCCCACTCATCCAAACGATGCATTCAAACTTAGCTGGAAAGATAACGGGGATGCTGCTGGAGATCGACAACTCTGAGCTGCTGCACATGCTGGAGTCTCCCGAGTCTCTCCGCTCCAAGGTGAGCTGGTGCTTGGGCTTGGGGCTTTAGCTGGCCCAGCTCCAGAGGGTGAGGGAGGGACACTTGGGCGGCAGCGAGAAGACTCCTCATACCTATTAATTTGGGGCCTGCTTCACAGTAGTTAAGTGATATATGGCTGCTAACCAAAAGGTCAGCAGTTCGAATCCACCAGCCGCTGGGAAACCCTATGGGGCAGTTCTGCTCTGTCCTATAGGGTCGCTATGAGTTGGAATTGACTTGGCGGCAGTGGGCTTGGTTTGGTTTTTGGTGGGTATAAGGAGCCCTGGTGGCACTGTGGTTAAGCATTCTGGCTGCTAACTGAAAGATAAGCAGTTTGAACCCTCCAGCCACTCTGTTGGGAGAAAGATGCGGCACCCTGCTTCGGTAAAGATTATAGCCGTGGAAACCCCATGGGGCAGTTCTCCTCTGTCCTGTAGAGTTGCTATGAGTTGGAATTTTCTATGGGTATTTGGGAAAGCATTTGGTACCAGGAGAAGCTCAGAGATCATCTCTATGGTTGGCTCTTATCCATCACTGTGCCTGGGCACCAGGGTGAGCCAGGGGGCTGTCCTCAGATGCCACCGACCCACTGGTGATTTCTCACAGGTGGATGAAGCTGTGGCGGTTCTACAGGCTCATCATGCCAAGAAAGAAGCTGCCCAGAAGGTGGGCGCTGTTGCTGCTGCTACCTCTTAGACAAGGAAAAACCGTATGTTTGGGTATTCTCATTTTGTAGAATGGCTTTGATTTGTGACTATCTTCCTAAAAGAATGGGAGTATTATATAGAGCTACTGATTTATAAATTGACAGGCTGTAACCTGGGCTTTTTCTGTTATGTAGAAAAGAGTAGTACAGGTTGTGAATCATAAGGAATAAACGAACAGTTTTCTCTGTAAAGATCACCTCGTCATATATCCTTCTCGAGAGTGACCTTGTTGGTCTAGAATAGCGATGGGTCATAAAAGGTGTCTCGTATCAGATCTGTAAGCCTTGGTTCTATGAGCATTATTTTCCTGGGGTTTGCCTGAGCTTGATGAGGACTGCTTAGCTCTGGGAACACAAAGGGCACAGGCCTTGGCATCAAGGATCTCAATCTAGTGAGAGACAGACACACACACATCTGGCTTGTGTGTTCCAGTCTGAACTTCTGGATTTGGGAGGCTGCAGCCTCTGCCTGCAGGGGCTTAGGTGAGTGAAGTTTAACAAGGACTGGTGGCTGCCTCCAGATGGAAAAAGCGGGAGGAACCAAATGAACAAAGGCAAGGAGGTGGGGGAAAAGCATGCAAGGGCCAGAGCCGGTATGGTGGTGGGCGTGACTTGGGCTAGGCATGGCCTTCTTGTCAGAGGCTCTAGGAGCTCCGTCATTAGAAGCATGAGCGAGAGAACAGGATGGCAGGCGGGGTGGGATGGGCCATAGGACTGTAGCTAGTTTCTAGATCAGTGGTTCTGGATCCACTGGACATATGACAATGTCTACAGACTTGGTTGTCACAACTGGGGACATATTACTGGCATGTTCAGGCCAGGGATGCTGCTAACTTGGCACAACACACAGGACATCCTTTACAACGAAGAATTACGCAGCCCAAAGTGTGTCAGTAGCACTGAGGTTGAGACACCTCGGTCTGTTCTGGGGATACCTTATTTTATCAGTTAGAGATTTCAGTGAGTTGTTATTCCTTAAAAGCAATTCTTTTGATTACGTATTTATGTTGGTGCTCTTCATTTCAGGATTCAAAAGCCAAATAACCCCTCGTGGATTTCAGCTCAAGTTTGAAGAACTTCCTAGCTTGTCCTATGGACCTCAACATCAAGAACCACAAATTGCAAATTTAATAGGTCATTTTGTATCAAAAGGTCAATTATGAAACACCTAGAATTTTTCAATTAAACGAACATATTCTCTGGGTTCTGCCGTAGCCCAGGTAACGTTAACTTTTTTTTCTATTGTGGGTTTTGATTTCTTTCCCTCAGAAATTGGTTTTATTTGATGTACCCAAGTCTTAAGTTTCTCAATAAAGAAAAAAACCTCCACGAAACTGTCTGTCTTCTGCATGTTATGCCAACCACACAGCTGTATTCTATAAATCCCAGTTTTCAGTGGAAGAAATTTTAGAAGTGTAAACAGGATCAAATGAACTTATGTATAGTTTATTATCTTTTACTGAGTCTTACAGGCAGCCAGTTTTGGGTTAACAAGGTATCCAGAACTGTTAAATATGATCCTGTCCCATTGTATTCTGTTATGGTAAGAACTTTATACTGGCCTCATTTAACAGGGAACAGAAGCCTGGTGTGGTCAGAGTAGACTTTGGGACTGGCTCTGAAAATTTAGGGGTACAGAGTGGGGCTGGCCCAGGGACATGAGGTGAGGTCCTCAGAATCCAGGCTTGTTAGTTGGAGTATGTTGGTTGGGGTTTGTCCAAAATCCAAAAATCAGACCCACTTTGATTCCTTCTCATAGTGATCCTATAGGACAGAGTAGAACTTATCCATATGGTTTCCAAGGCTGTAATCTTTACAGAAGCAGACTGCCACATCTTTCTGCTGCAGAGCTGCTGGTGGTTCGAACCGCCAACCTTTTGGTTAGCAGCTGAACGCTTTAACCATTGTGTTACCAGGGCTCCTCGTGGTTTGTCCAGTCCCTTCTATTTCCTAGTCTATCCTGGAAGCAGGTCAGCAGATAGTTGCCCAGATTCTGCCACTAAAGTTTCCTGGGGCTGTTTTCCTATTGTAGTGGGAAACGGCTCAGGAAATAGACCTGAGTGACAACAGCAAGCGCCAGTCCCAAATGTTACATGATTAATCCTCAAAGCAACAGTAACCTGGCCAGGGTCAACCAGTCAGTAGTACCTGCCCTGTAGTCACACTTCTTTCTCTGAGTGTACCAGCTCATCCTTCCACCTGGCCCTTGGAATGTTCTTTTCCTGGCTCTGCCCTCTTGGCAGGCTCCCCCTTTTTCATAAGGTCTCACCCTAAGTATTTGTCCCTAAAGTTCCAATCTAGCGATCTTATAGGGCATAGTAGAACTGCCTGCGGTTTCCTAGGCTGTAATCTTCATAAAACCAAACCAAATCGAACCCGCGGCCAGCAAGTGGATTCTGACTCATAGCGACCCTGTAAGAGAGAGTAGAACTGCCCCATAGAGTTTCCAGGGCTGTAATCTTCACAGAAGTTGACTCACGTCTTTCTCCCAAAAGCGGCTGGTGGGTTCGAACCGCCAATCTTTCGGTTAGCAGTGGAGCACTTAGACCACTGTGCCACCAGGGCTCCTTTTGTATATGTATCCCAAAATTTATCTGGGAGCAGATCGCCAGGTCAGAGTAGAACTTATCCATATGGTTTCCAAGGCTGTAATCTTTACAGAAGCAGACTGCCACATCTTTCTGCTGCAGAGCTGCTGGTGGTTCAAACCACTAACCTTTCAGTCAGCAGCGGAGTGCTTAACCATTGTACCACCAGGTCTCCTTCTGTCTAACGACCCTGTTTTGTTTCACATGACTGGTTACGCATCCTGACCGCCACCTCTAATCAGCTCCGCGGGCCTGGCCAGCGTTAGCTGCGTCTGCGCAGTCGGCGCGGCCGAGGGGGGCGGGGAGCGGGGAGCGGGGAGCGGGGGGCGGGGGAAGGAGGCGGGCTGAGCGCTGGCTTCCGCCGGAAAAGTCGGGAAGCAAGATGGCTACTACTAAGAGGGTTCTCTACGTGGGTGAGCGGTACTTGGGGCGCGGTGGGGTCTTCACCGCGGAGCTCGGATTGTGCCTGGGTTGGGGCTGGCAGTGATTCATTGCGGCCGCAGGCGGCGAGCGGCTGCCTGGGCCGGCTGTCCTGTGGGGCTTTTTCCATCAGCATGTGCGCGGCGCCCGCGAAGTAACGGATTTGTTGCCCAGAGCCCCTTCCCCTTCTGACTCTGGACCCTGATAGGTGATGACGTCTATTATTGTGGCCTCAAACCACATCCTAGACATTTTCACCCATTCCTTCCACAAATTCCGCAGCCCCGGCCCGTTAGAGGATAGAGTTGCTAAAGTAGCCAGGGTGTTACGGAAACAGTCTCACATCGCGGATTGGTGAGCGTTATAATGGGATTGTACCACGGATAGTGATGTCGAGGGCCAGGGTAGGGATTTCAGGGGATCATCACTCTATCGGGAGAGGTAAGGGCAAACTTCCTGGAGGCGGTGAGGCCGAAGCTAGGTTTGAAAAGATCAGGAGTTAGCCAGGCAGCCAAAGTGGGAGCAAGGCTGTTTCCTGAATGTAAGCTTGTTGTTTTTTAATTGCGGTAGATTCCGACTCATGCGACCCTATGTGTTACAGAGAACTGCTCCACAGGGTTTTCTTGGCTGTAATCTTAAGGGAAGCAGATCGCCAGGCCTTTTCTTCCCACCGCCGGGTGGGTTCCAACCTTCAACCTTTAGGTTAGCAGTCAAGTGCAAACCGTTTGTACCACCTAGGGACCTCGAATGGAGAGCAGAAAGTGCAAAAGCCCAGAGGTGTGAAGTAGCCTGGCATCTGGGAGCAGATGGTTGAGGGAGCAAGGGGAAAAGAGGCTGGAAAGGTGGGCAGGGCCCTGGTTATGAAGGCCTTAAGTGCCATACTAAGGAATTTGGACTTTATCCTTTGGGCACTGGGAGGCTTTTGAAGAATAGTAAGCAGGGAAATAACTGTAGTCAGATTTGCTCTTTCTTGGAATCATTCTGGTGGCTGTGTAGAGGAGAGAAAAACTGTCACAGTAACCAGGCGCTAGATGAGGGTCTGCAGAGGGATGGTAGAGGAGTAAACGTCACTAGTTCATTTGTGTGCCCAAGAGACTATAGAACCTCTCTTGTTTTCCCTTCCCTGTGGCTGTCATGCTAACAGTGTGTTGCAGCAGCTATTCCAAAAGTAGAGGGCAGTGGCTCAGAAGGCCCTTGGCGTCTTTGCAGGTGGGCTGGCGGAGGAGGTGGATGACAAAGTTCTTCATGCTGCTTTTATTCCTTTTGGAGACATCACAGATATTCAGATACCTCTGGATTACGAAACAGGTAAGTCCTTTCACTGTCTCGTGTTCAGATTCCTGATGCCAGGAAAAGAACTTGGGAAAATATTTTAAGTCATGTGCATTCTGTGTATGGCTCATATGTACAGTCAATCCTCATTATTCACTGATTCCATATTTATGAATTCGCCTACTTGCTAATTTATTTGTAACCTCAAAGTCAGTATGGCATTCTTGCATAGTCATTTGCAGACATGGGCAGAGTGACACAAAATTTGAGTCACCTGATGGGCACATTCTCATTTGAGGTTGAACGGGGCGACACTCTGCCTTCTTGTTTCAGCTATCATATTGAAAGCAAGTATCCTTTTCACAGTTTATTTTGTGCCACGTTTTTCATATTTTTTTGCTTTTTGTTGGTGATTTCGCCATTTAAAATGCTCCCAAGTGTAGCGCTGAAGTGTTTTGTAGTGTTCCGAAGTACAAGAAGGCTGTGATGTGACTTACTGAGAAAATGCGCGTATTAGATAAACATCATGCAGGCTGATTCACAGTGCTGTTGGCTGCTGTGAGTTCAGTGTTAATGAGTCAACAATATGTATTAAATAAGTTATTTTTAAACACAACCTGGAGGCAGGGGAACAGTGGTGGTTCAGTGATAGAATTCTTGCCTTCCATGCAGGAGACCCAGGTTTAGTTCCCAGCTGCTGTGCCTCATGTGCAGCCACCACCCTGGCAGTGGAGGCTTGCATGTTGCTATGATGCTGAACAGGTTTTACTAGAGCTTCCAGACTAAGATGGACTAGAGAGAAAGGCCTGGTGATTTACTTCCAAAAATTAGCCAGTGAAAATCCTCTGGATCACAACAGTCCAGTCTGCAACAGGACGGGCAGCGTTTCATTCCGTTGTGCAAGGAGTTGCCACGAGTCGGGGCCAACTTGACGGCAGCTAACAACAACAACAAACACACATAAAACAAGGTTATGTATTGATCGATTGATGAGATGTGACCAGAGACTTGCAGAAACTTAACCATGTATTTCCTCTAGGAGCAGTGGTTCAGAATTTGCCAATTCATTGTTCGTGATGACTTGATAGAACATAACTACCGGAAATAATGAGACTAGACTGTAATGAAGTTCTGAAGGATGTCTCTGTAGGTCAACATGATTGTGATCTTGATGATGCAAAAGGAAAGTTCTGAGGCCAGTGAGACCAGGATGGTAGCGTCTGTATGGGCTGAAAGTTACAGGTGTTGGATTTGTGGGAAGATGTTCTTTATATTGGAACCAGCTGGGGACTTTCATTTCTGATCACACAGTATAAAAACTATAGTAAGAATCTGTAGGAAGATAGTCTTTCAAAAATCTTGGCAGCTCTGTGTGTTATTTCCCTCCACCTGCTGGGTAGCTGTACCTGCTGACCAGACCTCCGTTTTTGGCAGCTGTGCTATTGAATAGCAGAGGGCAGCAGGGAAGCTCAGCCCCAGCTGTGGAGTCTTGGGGTCTGTTCACCTGGGTGAGTTTTCCTCAACTGGTATCACAGCTACAGTGCAAGTTTCTATCTGATACTTTGTTATTATTTTCTGAAATAGCATTTTAGACCCAGCACTGCTACCAACTCTGTATGTAACACAAACTCTTTGAGCCTTCAGGTCCTCAAATCTTAAATAAAAGGGTAAGATTGGCTTTCTGGGGCCTTTCTTCCCCTTAATTCTATAAGTTAGTAGCTCCTGTTGCTCTTGGTCTCCCCCAGCTAAATGAGCTTTTTCCTGAGAGACAAGGATTGTGCTCCCTTCTTGAATATTTGCCTTACTCAGTGGTAAGGCCAATGCTGTATACACACTTGATGCTCAATTGGAATGAATAATTGACAAAAACTTTTCCTATTTTCCAAGTCTTCTAAACAAAGGTTAATAAAATGCTTGAATTTTTTTAGATTGGGATGGATTACCCAATAAGCAAGGTATGCACACGCTTACTTGTGCTTACTTACTAACCTGTAGTGCACAATTTCACTTGTTTTTGTGGTGAAAGCCATGTGAAATTGTTCACTACAGATTAGTAAGTCAGCACAATTAAGTCCATGAGTACCGTGCTTACTGGTTAATCCACCCCTGTGGAAAATGCTTCAGGTTTAAATTCTGTAGTTTTAGAATTGGATACTTCAGAGTTTAAAAATTTAGTTCATGATTTAGCTATGTTTATTTAAAACAAACCAAATTATTGATATTTCTGAAAGCATTGTTGAATAAACCAAGGAAAATCTGAAAATAAGATTTTTTGCTTTCTAATAGGCATCTAGATTTGGCATGTTTCCTACTATTGCCCCACATATTAACAGTCCATTTCTGTTTTGTAGAAAAGCACCGAGGATTCGCTTTTGTTGAATTTGAGTTGGCAGAGGTAAGAAATTTTCTCTGTTTAGTATTTGACTAGCATCACCATTATCACTGGTTATAAAAGGTGCCACTCTCCATTTGGATGGGTTTCTAGGCATGATGATGGCAGTTTCAGAGAGACAGTGAAGTACTGATTGAAGGAAGGCCTGATAGGCTGGGCTCACAGTTCCCCCCTGTAGTCAGAATGCAGAGAGAGGTAAGCCCCAGCCTACAGCGAAGCTGTCGCCAGGCATTGCTAGTTCCTGTTCCCTATGTATATTCTCTTTTCTCCGTAACCAGAGTGGGCATCCTTACACCACCAGCTCTGACAGCCAGTTAGTATATGCTCTTTGTTGAATATGTACAGTCTAGGCAGGTAGGATGGAAAATATGTCTTCTTTTCCTGTGCTGTGCTGTTGCGTTTTTATTTGAACACTAACTACAAAAAGTATGAACTGCAGTCATGAACTTTTCTTTTGCGTTCTTTTGGCAGGATGCTGCGGCAGCTATCGACAACATGGTATGCCTGAGAATCTTTGTTTTTTACTGAAGCTGTTATTTGGTGTTATGTTACGGTACTAGGGCCCCTCATCCACCTGTTGATTTTCAGTTTCCACAATTTCAAAGTTATATAGACAGCAAAAATTGTCGTAATTTGAACATATTCTCTGTGCTCTGGCCACTTACAAAATTAATTCTCATTCAGACATCCCTCCTCATTTAACGGTAGCATAAATCCCAACCTTCTGTGTTGGCCCTTCTCCCTGGCTGTTTTGTGTATCTAGCAAGAATCAGCAAACTATAGTCCGTGGGTCAAAATCATCCCACAACCTGTTTGTTTGTTTTTTTGGTATGGCCTGTGAGCTAAATGGTTTTTACATTTTTAAAGGGTTATTTAAAAAAAAAAAAAAGATGTAGAAGAAGAATACACAGCAGGGACTGTATGTGGCTTGCAACAACTGAAATATTTACTGTGGAGACGTTTACAGAAAGTTTGCTGACCCCTAGTCTAGGGCAATGTACTGCAAACCGAATGTAAACTGATTGCAAAGTAAAATTGTGAATTTTGCAAAAGAAATAGGGTTTCATGAAGTTTATGAAAGTGATTGTGGAGAACTGCTGTAGTTGGCTGTCCTCAAAACAGAGCCATTGAAAAGTAAGCCTCTCAGAGTTAAAGAACAACTGAGGGAAAGAAAATCTTTGAGGAGTATTCAGGTGGGTGCCTCAAAAGAAAGTGATTCGGAAGTCGTTGAGAAGTCACTGGGAAAATTGATGAAACCCGTGAGTTTGCTATTGCTGCTGTAACAAATTGCCACAACTTGGTGGCTTAAAACAGCACAGATTTATTATCTTACAGTTCTAGACGTCAGAAGTCCAAAATAGATCTCACTGGGCTAACATCGAGGTGTTGGCAGGGCTTCATTCCTTCTGGAGGCTTGAAGGGAGAATCGTTTTCCAGCTTCTAGCAGCTGCCTGCATTCCTTGGCTTGTGGCGCCTTCCTTCTTCTTCATTCTATCACTCTGAAACTAACTTTTCTGTCTCCCTCTTCCACGTTTAGAGGACCCATGTGATTACATTGGGCCTACCGGACTAATCGATGATAATCTTATTTTAAGGTCAGCCGAATAGCAACCTTCATTCTTCTGCAGTCTTTATTCCCTCTTGACATTTAACATAGCATATTCACAGGTTCTGGGGAGTAAGATGTGGACATCTTTGAGGGTAGCCCTTGAACATTTTTGCCCTTTTTTTATCTTTATGCTCTTCATTACTAAATATGAAATAAGGATGCCATTTCATACTGTCATTCCATTTTTTTAAAACTGCCAGAAATAGAATTAGCACTTGATTCATTTTTGTTTCTAATCTTATTAAGGAATCTTTTTCTTATATTTTGTAGTTTTCATGAAAAGGCCCCAAAAGAAACCTTTTTTTCTTTTTTTTTAAATCCGTTTACTTAACCTTTTCCTGGTGTCAGTTATTCTTTGACAATGAAGTATTCTTACACTTCATTCCATATTCTCTGTTAGTCGATGTCCAGCCATTTCAGGAGGTAGCATATGATCAAGAACTGATGGTATCGAAGTAAGAAATCCAAGCTGCACTGAAGGCACTGGCGAAAAACAAGGCTTCAGGAATTGACAGAATACCAGTTGAGATGTTTCAACAAACGGATGCAGTGCTAGAAGTGCTCATTCATCTATGCTTATTCAGGAAATTTGGAAGTCAGCCACCTGGCAGCAGACTGGAAGAGATCCATATTTGTGCCCATTCCAAAGAAAGGTGATCCAATAGAATGCAGAAGTTACTAAATAACATCATAACATCACATGCAAGTAAAATTTTGCTGAAGATAATTCAAAAACAGTTGCAGCAGTACTTTGCCAGGAAACTGCCAGAAATTCAAGCTGCATCCACAAGAGGATGTGGAATAAGGAATATTGTTGCTGAGGTCAGATAGATCCTTGCTGAAAGTAGAGAATACCAGAAAGATATTTACCTGTGTCTTATTGACTGTGCAAAGGCATTCGACTGTGTGGATCATAACAAATTATGGATAACATTGTGAAGAATGGGAATTCCAGAACACTTAATTGTGCTCATACAGAACCTTGTACATAGACCAAGAGGCAGTCGTTCAAACACAACAAGGGGATATTGCATGGTTTAAAGTCAGGAAAGGTGTACATCAGGGTTGTATCCTTCCACCATATTTATTCAGTCTGCATGCTAAGCAAATAATCAGGCTGGACTATAAGAAGGATGTGGCATCCAGATTGGAGGGAAGCTCATTAACAACCTGTGATATGCAAATGACACAACCTTGCTTGCTGAAAGTGAAGAGGAAACACTTACTGATGGAGATCAAAGACTACAGCCTTCGGTATGGAGTACACCTCAGCATAAAATAAAAATCCTCACACCTGGACCAGTAAGCAACATCATGATAAACGGAGAAAAGATTGAAGTTGTCAAGGATATCATTTTACTTGGATCCACAATCAACACCCATGGAAGCAGCGGTCAAGAAATCAAATGACTCTGTAAACCTTCACCTGAACTACAATTAAAAAAAAGAAAAGAAAAAGAAAATTTCAATAGTTAAAAAAAAAAAAATCAAATGACATATTGTGTTGAGCAGATCTGCTGCAAAGACCTCTTTAAAGTGTTAAAAAGCAAAGATGTCACTTTGAGGATTAAGGTGTGCCTGACCCAAGCCGTGGTATTTTCAGTTGCCTCGGATGCATGCAAAAGCTGAGCAATGAATAAGGAAGATCAAAGAAAAAACAATGCATTTGAATTAATGGTGTTAGTGAAGAGTATTGAATATGCCATAGACTGCCAGAAGAGTGAACCAATCTGTCTCAGCACAGTAGCTGCAACAATGGGCTCAAACACAGCAGTGGGCACAAACATAGACTGTGAAGATGGCGTAGGACTGGACAGTGTTTCATTCTGTTGCACATAGGGTTGCTGTGGGTTGGAATCGACTCAACGGCATCTTACAACAACAACTTATGTTTTCCTGGTACCAATTATTCTTGGATAATGGAGTATTCCTATACTTCATTCCACGTTCTCTGTTAGTTACTCTGTCATCAAAACGTCCCTCTGCTGTCAGTGATACCGTTTGTCTTTGGTTCAGAGCTGCTCTTTTTAAGGTGGACTTAGCTACACTTAGCTACACTTACCTTTACAATTTCTGAAAGCCTGAACTGAAATCCAAAGATCATGCCAGCACAGACCTTGTTGCTGGTAGCAAAGAAAGGAAGCATATGGGTGTCTCAGGGCTTCTTTGTGGTTAGTTTTGTGCGTAGCCTGCTGTTGTGGGGCACAGGGTCTTGGGCTTGGAATTAGTCACAAGCAGCTCTCAGACCTCTCAGAAGTAAATGGGAGGCTCTTTTAACCTAATAGGGTTAAAGAAAAAAGACAAATTGTATTTCAATCTTTCAGAATGAATCTGAACTTTTCGGGCGGACAATTCGTGTCAATTTGGCCAAGCCAATGAGAATTAAGGAAGGCTCTTCCAGACCAGGTGAGTGGAACAACCACATATTCCCCATCAGGTCCTCAACGTGGGCCTTTGTTGTATTTTTATCCCCATCTTATTTCCTGCTAAGCTGGTAAAATGGACAAGAGTGCAGAGTGGTTCATAGTAGAGAAGGGAATACAGCACCTCCATGGAAATAAAGAGTTTGAGATTCCCCCCCTGTGAAAGTCCTGCTTTTGTATGTAGACCTAGACTATTTCCCTCTAGCCTTGGCAAGGACTGGGACTTCCCTTTTGGCTTGGCGTAGTCCTTCCTGTTTTCATTTGTCTCTGCTAAGAGCTGGACTGTAGGGCTGACTTTTCCCAGTGAGAACTTTCCATTCCTTTGGGAGTTCCCAAGAGGGAACTTCTGACTGAGAGCCACATAGTGTGTTCCACCTTGCTGACCAAAGCTGTGAAGAAATGGACAGAGCTGATTAGCAGGTGGCCAATAGCTTGACTTTCTTAACACGTGTTTGATTGTTTCCTTTCAGTTTGGTCAGATGATGACTGGTTGAAGAAGTTTTCGGGGAAGACTCTTGAAGAGAGTAAAGAGGAAGAAGGGTCAGAGCCTCCCAAAGCAGAAACCCAGGAGGTGAGTTTGAGGATTGTGCTTCCTGAGGAGAGACTGGTGTTTCCACCCAGGGCAGTTCTGATGTGGGTGGGTGTTGGGTGAATTGAGTCAAGAGTCGTCCTTGTAGGGCTCTATGTGTGCTCGGTATCAGTTCGTGATTGTGTTGATGGAGGGGGACGTCTGAGGTGACAGGACGGTGAATGCTCCTTATCACCATCATCACCACCCTCCTGATCATTCCCGCTCCCTCACTTTGGCATCAGGCTGGTGTCTTCCTATTCCTGCTCTGATCCCGGGAAGGCAGAATAAGGTTGAGGCACCGTCTCCTCAGTCTGTAGACAGGTTGAAAGCTCTCCCTGCTTCGGCCCTTTCTCCTGCTTCTTAATACACCACCCTAACCAGTCCTTCTTAGGATAATTCAGGGCCTCCTCCTGTCCACCCTTTGAACAGTGGTGTTCCTCTGAGTGCCTTCCTTCGTCCTCAGCTCCTCTGTCCATGCTTTTCTTGTGTAGTTCCTGCCACTTTTGTCTCGTCTGAGGTTGTAACAACCACTCGTGTGCTGGTGACCTCCTGATCTCTGTCCTTTGCCCTCATCTCTCTCCTGAGTTTTACATATCTGAAAATCTCGCTGGCACCTTAAATAAACAAAGCATATCCCAAATGGATTTCCTCATCTCCTTGTACTCTGGTCTTCCTGTGTGACCAGTCTTAATTTTGCCATCTTCCACATAGTCACTCAAACCAGAAACCTCAGTCTCATTTTAGGCCCCTTATTATAATACATAGTTAATGTATTACTGAATCCTGCTGATTTTATCCTTTAAATCTTCCTGAATCTCTCCTCTCCTCTTTGTTCCTGCTGCTGTTGTCTTGCCCTAGTATCTCACCCATGAATAATTATAGTGGTTCCTAACTGGTCTCCTTGCCCCAGGTCTGCTCTCTTCCTGTCCTTAGTAGCAGAGGGCGCTTTCTAAAGCACAAGGCTCAGTGTATCACTCTCTTCAAGCCTTCCAGGGGCTCCCTTCTGCAGGGTTGAGTCCAACTCCAACAAAAGGGGCAGAAGGCTCTCTGAGAGACTGGCAGGGGTCAGAAGTCTCTCCACGTTTCATTCCCATTTTACACTCTAGAAACCAGAGTTTGTAGTTCCCTGGACATGGCTGTAAGCCATTCCTCTGCCTAAATGTCCTTCTCAGCTTATTTTACCTGGCTGACTCCTGCTCGTTTTTCATAGCTCAGTTACCTCCTTCTCCACAAAACTTTTCTGAATCCTCCAACTGAGTGAGATAAGTGTTTCTTCTGGGCTCCCATGGCCTCTGGAGTCCTGTGGTACCTTCTTTCCTAGCGTTCACGGTATTATGTTGAAATTACTTACTTAACAAATGCTTACATATTGTTTATTTGATGCTAGGGACTGTTTCTAAATGCATTACAAATATTTAATCCTCATTACAGTCCTTTGAGTTAAGTACTAATATTAACTGCAATTCCAGATGAGGAAACTGGAGCACAATGAGGTTAAGTAACTTGCCCAGCATTACACACCTAGCAAGTAGTGGAGTTGAGATTTGAAGCAAGGCTGTATAGCTCCAGGATCTATGCTGCCTCTCATGTTTGTGGCTGTCCTTCCGCAAATAGACAGCTAATTCCTTAAGGGCAGGGGCCATTCCATTTATTTTCTAACCCTAGTACTTGGCCTGATAGCTGAATACATTAATATGTTGAACTGTTAAACCAAACTACAAATGACGTAAAGGGCAAGCAAGTGGGAGGGCTTGTATTAAATATTTTATTTATCCTCTGGTCAGACTTGTCCACTTGAAGCACAAAGCAAGGTTCCCAAGTCCTCCATTGTCTTCTGAGCATTTAGGCCTTCCTTGCTTCCATTGTGGCCAACCTGTCAATATTCAGGGTTAAGCATCGAGAGGAAGTGGTGTTACATAAAGAGATCACTTTACTGGAGTAAGGTGGACAGGCCTGGTCTGGGGTTTGAAAGTGTTGAGAGTTGTGTATTGTGGGCCAGCAGATGTTGTTCTGTGATTGCAGGTTAGGGTGAAGCAAGGTGTCTGAGGGTGCGCTTGATGAGACACTGCCTGTAGGGTGGGGTTTGCATTAGATGGTGCTGAGGTCTCCTGTCACTGGATGTCCAGCTGGGTGCAGTGGCCGTGTCCCCTGCCTGCTCTAGCCCTGTCAGGGTCCGAGGCCTTCCCTGTTAGCATCTTGCTCCTCTTCCCAGAGAGGAGTCCCAGCCTGCTCACTGGAGTTGTGTTCTGGGTCTGTGTTCAGAATAATTGCCCTGCTACTTGGGGAGTCAGAGAGCTCTTTATAACTTAGTGATTTCTTCTGCACCTAGGGAGAGCCCACGGCAAAAAAGGCCCGGTTGAATCCTCAGGTGTACATGGACATCAAGATTGGGAACAAGCCAGCCGGCCGTATCCAGATGCTCCTGCGTTCAGATGTCGTTCCCATGACAGCAGGTGAGCAGGACTCTGGGGTCAGGATTTCCAGGAGCCAGTGGCTGAGCAGGCCCGGGAGGAAGCTGGGAATGCTGGGCCCTTGACGCTGTTTCTACCTGAATCCATCTCAGGCATCTTAGATCCCAGCATCTAGTAACAAATGAGGCAGAGCAAGCTTTGTTGAAGTTCTAGAACTATTAGAAAGAGTAAGCAGTTGAAAAATACAAACTTTCAATTACCTTCTGGTTTGGCTTTATTTTTTTTTGTTGTAATTTAAAAATTGTACTTTCAAACTTACAGGAAAGCAATGAGAATAATATAAGGAACTCTCATATCCTTTACTCATTCATTAATTTATTTTTGCCCCCCCATGCTGTCATTCCTTTTATATATGTATACATGCATCTATATATGTGTGTGTGTGTATACACATATGTAAATTTTCTGTTGTGGTAAATACATATGTAACAAACATTTGCCATTTCAACAGTCTTCATATGTACAGTTCAGTGACAATCAAATTCATCACGTTCAACCACCCTTATTCATTCCCCAGTTTTACCATCACCCTTACAGAAGATCAGTGTCCCCTAAATATTGTGTCCTCCTTTCCCCTTCCCTCCATCCCATCCCTGGAAACCACTAATGAACTTTGGTGTCTATACACTTGCCTGTTCTGGATATTTCATACAGGTGGGATCAGTGGGATGATACAATATTTGTCTTTTTGTGACTGACTTATTTTACTCAGCATAATGTTTTCAGGGCTTATCCATGTTGTAGCATGTATCAGGACTTCATTTCTCTTTTTGGCTGAGTAATCAGCCAGTGAAAAGCCTGTGGATCACACTGGTCTGATTTGCAACTGATAATGGGGATGGCACGGGACCAGGCATTTTGTTCCACTGTACATGGGGTTGCCATGAATCGGCGGCCGACTCCACAGCAGGTAACAACAACAACAAATAATATATATATATTTTTTTACTGTACCATTGGATACCCTGGTGGCATAGTGGTTAAGAGCTACAGCTGCTAACCAAAAGGTCAGCAGTTCAAATCCACCAGGCACTCCTTGGAAATCCTATGGGGCAGTTCTACTCTGTCCTGTAGGGTCGCTATGAGTTGGAATCGACTTGACGGCAACGGGTTTTTGTTTTTTTGTTTTTGTGAGGAAGTTGAAGATACCATGCCCTTTTTACTCCTAAATACTTCAGTATCTGTTTCCTAAGAACAAGACTGTTCCTTTTACAACTATCAAAATTAGGAAACTTAACATTGATAAATTAAGGCCATATTAAAATTTCATCAGGTGTCCCAATATTGTTCTTTATAATAATTTCTTGAGTTGTGGGGATGGAAGGTAGGAGTGGTAAGCAGGGCCACTCTGACTTCTCCTCTGATTCCTGGACCCCCAGGGACATAGCACTCTGTAATGGTCATTGGTTTAGGGTGTATGCTGTGCCTGTCTTCACAGGTTATTGTTTCTAAGCTGGTGCCGCGGGTGCGCCTTTAGAAGGCTTTTCTGCCTCTCTGTCAGGTCTGGATGGTGTGGTATTTGATAGGACCGGTGGATCGTGTGTTCATGTGCTGACTGCCACACCTTCTTTGCTGTAAAATGGGTCCCTTGGTTTGATGCCATGTTAGCCAGGATCCTATTTCATTTGATCAAACACCCTGTAAGCCCTTGGATGGTGGTGCTGGCTGAAGCCTTATAGGAAGTAAAAGTAAACCTCTATCCAGAATATTTGTTGATTCCTGTGAAGATGAATTGCTACCCCCTCCAGGGTTGAAGGGGTCCAATGTAATCACCATGCCATCAAGTAAGTGGCTGGTTGATCTTGAAGGATGGGGGCTCAGCATTGGTCTCAGTTGCTGGTAGTTTGGACATTTGGTAGTAGCAGTAGCTAGATCAGCCTTGGTGAGTGAAGTCCATGCTCTGTTCTCCTACATAGCCTCCATGCTAGTCTTCATGACTGCTTTGCTCATGCACCCATTGGGCCAGCAGTGGGGTGGCCAGTGGCAGAGGCTGGCTGATGTCAGTTAGCTGAGTCTTTCTGTCTGCTTCTTGTTTAATACCTCTTCTCTGATGGATATTGTCTAGTGAACATACATAAACATGAGAGATCTTCACACTCTGTGCCCGCTCCCATAGCTCCATCCATGTGCTGTTCCCCATTTTCCAGTCTGTTTTCTTCCAGCCTCCTGACCTGCCATCCAAGCCATTTGTCACTGTCTTTGAGTTTGTATATAGTCTTACTTTGGGTCACTTCTCTTTCCACACAGGTAGGTAGCCAGGTTCGGTGCCTGAAGCTCTGCCCTTTGGGAGGATTTCCCCTCCCCACTGTCTTTTAGGAATGCTACTGAGTAGGGCTGTAGTGCAGCAGCAGTCTGTTCTCAGCTTGTCCCTACATACCATGTTGCTCATTGGTGAGCCAAGCTTATCCTTTGTCCTCCTGTATCAGCTGGTCATCAGGGGCCTCCACACGGCCATGGGTGTGATCTGAGGGAGGGGTGTGGGTACTACAACACTGGGTGACATGGAGGGTCTGGCCACCTGCCATGCAGCTCGTTTGTGCCCTCTGGCCCTGCTCATGGCTGATCCTGAATGCGCCATTTCTGTCTTACGGTGGATTGCTGCTGGGCCTGCCAGACCTTATGGCTTGTTAGGTCTAACAGAACCCGGCTCATGATGGATAGTTCTGGCCACGTGGTCACTTGATGTCCCATGGTTCGGCTTTCCATCTTTACAGAGCCCAGTGCCATGCCAGGAACTGCTTTCAAGTGGTGTAGAATTCTCTGCTGCAGATGCCAGGGCTTTGCTCCAGAACCCATCAGGTCTGCATTGTGATTCTTCTTTTGGTGCTTGCTATAAACACTACATATCATAGGTCTGCTGGGCCTGGACCTGCTTCAGAGCCCTTTCCGACTCCGGGCTTCCCTCAGTGCTGGCGGCCTTCAGTGTCACTCAGCAAATGTGTCAGAACCGTTTTCTCAAGTGCAGTAGCCTGTCTCCAGAGCTTGAAAAAGCCTATTAGGCCCTGTGCTTCCTTAGTGGGGGGAAAGGGGTGTGAGATGCAATGATTTGCCCTTTAATTTGGAGGAAAAGTCCTGGATACCCCATACCATCATATCCCCTAAACCCTTGACCGTCTCCTGAATCCTCTTTAGGTTTATCCCATCCCTGTGGAGCACATGGCCTACGGAAGGTCTCTAGGGGACATGCCACATCACACTCATCTGGTCCTGTTATCATGGTGCCATTGATACAGTGGACCAGTGTGATGTGCTGCAGGATGTTCAGATGGGCATGTCCCTTCTGATGGTGTTGTGACTGGATAAACGAAGGATAAGCGTTTGATTTTTGGAAACCCTTTTTATTTTGAAAAAATGTCAAGCTTATAGAAAAGTTTAAAGAAGAGTATAATGGTCATATATCCCTGATGTGTTTTCACCCATTGTTAATATTTGCTGTCTGCCTATTCTTTTCTTTCTCCTCCACATTATTATTTGTTGTGTCATTTGAAAGTAAATTACAGCAATCATGACCTTTCACCCCTAAATACTTAAGCATGCATCTCCTAAGAACAAGGATAGTCTCTTACATTGCCACGGTACAATGATCAAATTGAACACTTGTACAATGCTGTGACATAAGGCATAGTTCACAGCCAGATTTGGATGATTTTCCCAATACTGGCCATTATAGCAGTTTTTCTTCCTCTGATCTAGGATCTCACATTGCATTTAATTGTCACGTTAATTTAGTCTCTTTTAGTCTGGAACTAGGTCCCTGGGTGGTGCAGTTTGCACTTAGCCACCAACTAAAAGGTTGGCGGTTTGAATCCACAGCAGTGCTGCAGAAGAGAGTCCTGGCGATCTAATTCTGTAAGATTATAGTCATTGAAAACTCTATGGAGCACAGTTCTATTCTGACATACACAGGGTCACCATGAGTCGGAGTCGCCTTGATGGCAACAGGCAATGGTGGCAGTTAGTCTGGAACTGTTCCTCTGCCTTTGTGTTTTATGACATTGCCGTTTTTGAAGACTCTAGGCCAGTTGTTTTTAGAATATTCCTCATTTGAGTTTATCTGATTGTTTCTTCATGATTAAATTCATGCTATGCATTTTTGACGTCACGTCAGAAGGTCCCTGATATTAGTTTTTCCATCATTTTACCAACTTGGTACTTGGTTAAGGTTGTGTCTGCAAGTTTTTCCAACTCAAAAGGTCCTTTAATTCCCTTTATAAATGACTTGTGGGAGATATTTTAAGACTTTTCACCTAGTGGTTTTAAGTATCCTTTGTTTTGATTCCAGCCTTAATCAATTATCACTGGGATGGTAATTTTCTAACCATTGTTTCCTTTACATTTTTTATAGCATTTCTACATTTATTTCAGTTAGCATTCTGCTATCAGCAAGAACTTTCTCTTCTTCCCTCCCCTCTTTATTTCTTGGTTTTGTGTGAATAGTTGATACTTTGGTGTGGACTCGTGGAATCTTTTTATTCAGTGTGCTATAACTCACTAAACCCATTGCTGTAGAGTCGATTCTGACTCATAGCGACCCTCTAGGACAGAGTAGAACTGCCCCATAGGGTTACCAAGAAGCGGCTGGTGGATCGACCTTTTGGTTAGCAGCTGAATGCTTAACCACTGCACCGCTAGGGTCCCATTTTAACCCACTACAATCATTCAGTTGTCAGTTGCTCAAATTGTCCTAGACTTGGCTATTGGGAACCCCATCAAGCTTGCTCCTATATCCATTTGACATTCCTATTTTTTTATGAGCGCTTCCTTAATTTCTGGTACAATAAGCTGGTCCAGGCTTATCTTACACTCACCCTGTTCTGACTCTGGAATCGGCCATTTCTCCAAGAAGCCCGTTTCTTTAGTAGGAAATAATAATTAGAAATCAAGATCTGGATGCTTGGTATGTCTGCTGAGATGTCAGACTCTGTGTGTGTGTATGTGTGTGTGTGTGTGTGTGTGTGTGTGTGTATTATTTAAATCAGGTGTTCGTGCTAATAACCTCTTCCTGTGTGGGTGTGGGTGTGTGTATGGGTGTGTGTATGTATTTATTTAGTTATTTAAATCAGGCATTCTTGCTAATACCTCTTCCAGTCCAGTACCACCAGGTTCTTCCTTGCTTTCCACTTTCTATATTTGTGTCTTTTTCCTCACTGTGAGAACCCTGGCTCCCAATAATGTCAGTGTATTTATTTACCTGCTCAGTCTTATAGGGCAAAATGGTATTGCTACAGCTATACCCTGACTGACAAAATTTTTCTTTGTAGTTTTTGTCTGTTGTCTGAAGTTGAGTCTAAGTACTGTGTTAAAAAGTTCTTGGATTCTCTTTTCTTTGTTTTTCCTTAAGTTCATTTGTTTCTGTTTGTATTCAGTTTTAGGGCGTTTTCCCCAACCTTATTGATTTATTTTTAGTTTTTGAATATATAAACATTACTGTGGTTCAGAAGTCAACAGCATACCCAAAGGTGTACATGGAGTCCTGTCCCTCCCTCCCCCACCCCCCGCCTCCTTTGCGTAGCCAGTTTCATTCTTCCTGGTTTATCCTGCTTCTGTTTGCTTTTGCAAAAATAATCAGATACAGGAATATTTCCTTATTTCCCTTTCATTCTTACACAAAAGCTAGCAAATTCTGTAGTTTTTTTTTGCACTTTGCTTTATTCACTTAACAGTATATCCTGGAAATCATTCCACATTAGTTCATCGAAATCTCCGTATTCATTTTTACAGTTCTTCCTGGTGCGGATGTACCATAGTTTATTCAACCACATTCCTGTGTATGGACATTTAGGTTATCCCCATTATCTTGAAAATACAGTTAATGCCACAGTGTGCATACGCATTTCGTATTATTAGAGGTTTATCTTCATGGTGAATTCCTAGGAGTGGGATTACTGGGTCACAGGGTCAATAAATGCACGTGTAGTTGTTGGACATGGCCAGGTTCCCCTCCCCCGGGGTGATACCGTTCTGTACTCTACCTGGAGTGCGTGGGAGCCTGTTCCCTGACTTCTTTAACAGACTGTGTTTTCTAGCTTTTCAGTTTGTGCCAGTCTGATAGGTGAGAAGTGGAATCTCAAAGTAGTTTTAATTTGCATTTTTCTTACTAAGGGTGAAGTAGAATATCTTTCTATATATTTAACAATTTTTATATCATTTTTGGAGGGAGATTGTTATATGTTTTTCACCCTTTTTTGATTTTTTCATTTTTTTCCTCTAAATTTTTAAGATATTAGAGATATTAGCCCTTTATTATAATATATCTTACAAATGGATGTATTTCTCCCAGTTCTTCGTTTTTTTCTTTTGACTTTGATTATGATGTTTTTTGCCATGCAAAAGTTTTTTGTTTTTATTGTGGTGCAAATATACACAATATGCATACCAAAACATTCACCAACACAATAACTTCCACGTTTACAATTCAGTGACACTGATTATATTTTTCATGTTGTGCCACCATTATCACTATCCTTTTCCAAAATATTCCACCACCATTAACATAAACTCAGTGCCCCCAAGAAAAGCTCCCCCTCTCCCCTTCACTCCCATCCCTTGAACCATTTAATAATCTTTGGTTTCTCATTTGTTTATCTCTTATAAGTGAGATCATGCAGTATTTGTCCTTTTGCAGTTGACTTACTTTGCTCAGCATAGTGTTTTCAAGATTCATCCATGTTGTGGCATGCATCAGAACTTCATTTCATGCAAAAGTTTTTTTATATGTATGTAGTTGGATCCTTTTTTTTTTTAATTGCACGTGAATTTTGAGTCATAAGTAGAGACATCTTGCTTGGTAAAGTAGAGGGTCAGCAAAAAAGAGGAAGACTCTGAACGAGATGGTTTGAGACAGTGGCTTCAACAACAGGCTCAAGCATAACAAGGATTGTGAGGATGTTGCAGGACCACAGGCAGTGTTTCATTCTGTTGTACGTAGGGTCACTGTGAGTCGGAACCGACTCCACGGCATCTAACAACAACAGCTTTGTACCCCAGGCTATAAGGACTCCAACCCATGCTGTCTTCTAGTACTTAAAAATTTCTTGTTTACTTTTAGGTCTCTATTTTTGGCATGGGGTGAGCTGTGATACAATTTCATCTTTTCTCAAATGTTTATTCATTCGTTCCTACACCATTGTGTAAAAAAATCCATCTTTGCTCCAGTGATTAAAGGTGGCAACCTTTATCAAATACTGAATTTTTCATATGTACCTGAGTCTTTTTCTGGAGCTTCTATTCTGTCCCCTGGTCCGTTCAGCCTATTTGTGTGGCAGAACCACACTCAAACATTTAATTTAAATAAAGGTAATATGTATGTTTTTAGATTCTGAGAGCTGGACTGTAAGTCTGTAGTTAGATATTTTTTATTTACCTCAGCGCCTTTTTCTTTGTCAACCCCAGAGAATTTCCGCTGCCTGTGCACCCATGAAAAGGGCTTTGGCTTCAAGGGAAGCAGCTTCCACCGCATCATCCCCCAGTTCATGTGCCAGGGCGGCGACTTCACGAACCACAACGGCACGGGGGGCAAGTCCATCTACGGCAAGAAGTTTGATGATGAAAACTTTATCCTCAAACACACGGGACCAGGTAGGACCCGGTCGGTGTCTATGGTGACTGAGCTGGGCTACGGCTGAGTGGACGTGGAGGACCCAATGACAGGGTGCAGCTCTGAGGAGTCACAGCTAGTGAACACATGGGAAGTGTTCAGCCTTGCTAGAGTGGAGTAAATTTTGGGCTTATAAAGGTTTTTTTTTGTGTGTGTTTTTATTCTAGTGCATATAAGTCTGCTTTTATTACAAGAGGAAGCAGCATAGAAGCCTGGTTCTGATACCACAATTGTGTGTTATTGTTTTTGTAACTTTTTATTTTACATAATTTCAAACTTACAGAAAAGTTGCAAGAACAGTACAAGAGCCCCCCATAAGCTTTGATAAGCCTTTCACACAGATTCACCAGTTGCTTACATTTGCAACCATTATTCTCCATTATTCTCTAGGTCTCTTTATCTTTATCTTTATATATTTATAGACAATGCATATTTTTTTCAGAGTCATTTGAGAATAAATTGGAGACCTCATGTGCCTTCACCACTAAACACTTTAGTGTGTATTTCCTCTGAACAAGGGCATTTTCTTACATTACCACAGTACGAGTTACCAAAATCAGAAACTTAACACTGATGCAGTGCTATTATCTAATCTACAGTGATTATTCAGATATTGTCCTTTGTCACAGTGATGTCCTCTCAGAGGCTTTATAGTTGACATGTGTTGGATACCTAGTCCATACCCACTGTCCACCCCCATCTCCACACTTCTGCGTTTTCTTGTTTGGATCCTGGGATCCATCACTGTACGCACTTTCCTTACTTACACCTTCAAGCCCCACTGCCTTTCTTTTGCTCTCTCAGACTCACCCAGTACCAGTCTCCCTGTCTGCTGTGCTCACTGGTCCCCTTTGAGTTGAGGAGCACAAGTCTTAAGGGCACCTCAGCACTGCCCAGTGTCCTCCCAGATTTCTATAGTTCACTCTCTTCCACAGTCTAAGAAGAAGACTCCACTCCTTCTCTTCTCTCCTCAGACCTCCAGCATTGTCCCCGTACACTGTCTCATAGTTGATGGTCTTGCTTCTTATTTCACTGAACAATAGAAGCAATCAAAAGAGAATGATTTTGTCTTTCTACAGGCAGAGCTGCTGACCTGCCTGTGTGGTCCTCACTGATCTGCCTGCCTTCCTGATACAGTGGTGAACCTCCTGGCTTCCATCCGAGGCTGGCCTCTGCACTCGGACTCTGGGTCCAGCTTTTCCCTCCCCTGTGTCCTCCATTTTCCCCTCTGCCCTGACTTGCTCACTCCCATCCTTGTGCAAGCATGCTGCAATGTTCCCAGTCTTAAAAACAAATAAAACAACTCTCCCTTGACCCATGTTCCCCCTCCAGCTACTACTCCAATTCTCTGGTCCCTTTTTGGTAGAAGTTCTTAAAAGAGATAGGTAGACTCATTGCCTCCAGTGATGCCTTCTTCCCCGTCCCATGTCACTCTTGTTAAGGATTCCGGCAGCCTTCATCTTGCCAGCAGTCAGTTCTCAGCCTTTTTCCCCAGCTCTCAGCAGCATTTGACCCTGTTAATCACATTCTCCTGGAACCTCGTTCTTCACTTGGCTGGCAGAACACCTTTCTCTTTTGGTTTTCTTTCTGCCTCTTTGATTATATATAAAATGGAGTTAGCCTCTAGGCTCAGATCATATAAACACGTTTTTCTTATCTACATGAATGTTTGTCAAGGAATTTGAAAGTCCAAGATTTAGAATAATTCTTCATTGGGTGGGATATTGCAGGATTACTAGATTCCCTGGCCCCTACCCACCCAATGCCACCAGTGCAAGTAAACCAAAAACTCATGGCCATCAAGTGACCAGTAAAAAAAACAAAACCAAGCCCGTCATTGAGTTGATTCAGACTCATAGTGACCCTATAGGACAGAGTAGAACTACCCCATAGAGTTTCCTAGGCCGAAATCTTTACAGAAGCAGACTGCCACATCTTTCTCCCATGGAGTGGCTGGGGGGTTTGAACCACCGACCTTTTGGTTAGCAGCCAAGCACTTAACCACTGTGTCACCAACACCCCCAGTATTACTGACATCAAAAACCTGTTGTTGGTGAGTTGATTCGACCCATAGCAACCCTATAGGACAGAGTAGAACTGTCCCTTAGGGTTTTCAAGGCTATAAATCTTAACGAAAGCAGACTGCCACATCTTTCTCCTGTAGAACGATTGGTGGGTTTGAACTTTGGTTAGCAGCCAAGTGCTTAACTACTGCGCACCAGGGCAGTTCAACAAATAGCATACCCTGAAATTTCCAGGTAGGCCCTAGGGGGCAGTATTACCCTACTGAGAACCACTGGCCCAGGCAAACACATCCAGTCCAGGGCTTTCAGTAATATCCATAAATTAATCGTTTTGGCTGTTATGAATAATGCTATGAAGAATTTGCATACAATATTTTATGTGGACATATGTTTTCATTTCTCCTGGGTATATACCTAGGAGTGGAATTGCTGGGTCATGTAACTCTATTTTTAACGTTTTGAGGAACTGCCAGTCTGTCTTCCAAAGTGGCTGCACCATTTTACGTTCCCATCATCTATATATGAGGGTCCCAATTTCTCTATATCCTCACCAACACTTGTTATTATCTGTCTTTTTTATTATAGCCATCCTAGTGTGTGTGTAGCACAAACAGTTAAGCACTTGGCTGCTAACCAAAAGGTTGGTGATTCGAGTCCACCCAGAGGTGCCTCGGAAGAAAGGTCTGGCAGTCTACTTCTGAGAAATCAGCCATTGAAAACCCTATGAAGCACAGTTCTACTCTGACAAACATGGAGTCTTCATGAGTCGGAATGGACTTGACTGCAACTAGTTTGGTTTGTTTTCTTTTTAGTGTGCAGAAACCTTAGGGGCAGTTCTACTCTGTCCTGTAGGGTCGCTGTGAGATGGCAGCAAGTTTGGTTTTTGGCGTATTTCGTTGTGGTTTGTATTTGCATTTCCCCGATGACTACTAGTGTTGAGTATCTTTTCTTGTGCTTACTGGTCATTTGTATATCTTTTTTGGAAAAAAGTCTGTTCTGTTCAGATCCTTTACCCAATTTTATGAGACTGATGCATTGCCTACTCTGCTAAGGAGGCAGATCTTTTACCCAGTTTTAAAATCGGATTTTCTTTTTATTATTGAATTCTTTATATATTTCATATATAAGTCTCTTACCAGGTAAATGATTTGCAAATATTTTCTCATTGTATAGCCTGTTTTTCACTTTATGGATGGTGTCCTTTGAAGCATAAAAGTTTTTAATTTTGATGAAATCCAGTTTATTTGTTTTTTCTTTTGTCACTTATGCTTTTGGTGTCACATCTAATTTTCCTCTAAGAGTTTTATAGTTTTAGCTCTTACAGTTAAGTCTTTGATTCGTTTTGTGTGGTGTGAGGAAGTGGTCCAAGCTTTCTTTCACATGTGGATATTCATTTGTCTCAGCACCATTTGCCGAAAGGGCTCTTTTTCCCTGTTTAATTGTCTTGGCACCCTTGTCAAACATGAGTTGACCATAAGTGTAAGGGTTTATTTCTTGACTCAGTTCTGTTGCACTTGATCTCTGTGTCTGTTCTTACGCCAGTACCACACTGTCTTGAATTCTGAGGCTTTGTAATAAGTTTTGAAATCAGGAAGTGTGAGTCCTCCAACTTTCTTCTTTCTCAAGCTTGTTTTGACTATTCTGGGTCCCTTGTATTTTGATTTGAATTTCAGGCTCACCTTGTCAATTTCTGCAAAAAAGCTAGCTGGGATTTTGATAGCAATTGCTTTGAATCCGCAGATCAGTTTGGAGAGTATTGCCATCTTAAAAATGTTAAGTCTTCCAATCCATGAACATAGACTGTCTTTCTGTCTATTTAGGTCTTTAATTTCTTACAACAAGGCTTTATAGTTTTCAGAGTGTAAGTTTTATACTTTTAAAAAATTTATCCCCAAGTATTGCATTCTTTCTGATGCTATCATAAGTGGAATTGTTTTCATGACTTCATTTGCAGATTGGTCGTTGATAGTGTATAGAAATTGAATAGATTTTTCTATGTTAATCTTGTATCCTGTAGCCTTGCTGAACTCATTTATTAGTTCTAATAGTGTTTTAGTGGATTCCTTAGGATTTTTTATATACGAGATGATGTCGTCTGCAAATATAGTTCACATTTTCCTTTCCAGTCTAGATGCCTTCTTTTCATTGTCTTGCCTGGTTGTCCTGTCTAGAACCTCTAGTGCAGTGTTGACTAGAGGTGCTGATGGCGGACATCCCTGTGTTTCTGATTTTAGGGGGACAGCATTCAGGTTTTCACCATGGGGTTATTCATAGATGCCCCTTTTCAGGTTGAGGAAGTTCTTTTCTATTCCTAGTTTGAGTGTTTTTATCATGAAAGGGCGTTGGATTTTGTAAAATGCTTTTCTGCAGCTATTGATATGATCATGTGCTTTTGTTCTTTCTTCTGTTGATATGATGTATTACACTGATTGGTTTTTGGATGTTAAACCAACTTGCATTCCTGAGATAAATTTACAGTTACCTTTTGAGTGACTCTCTTCACTAGACCAAGCTCCACCACAGGGCTGGGGACTGTGTTTTGCTCACTAGTGTCCCCAGGGTTCAACAGGGGCCTGGTTATAAAGTGGACACTTAACAAGTATTTGTGAGATAAACAAAAGAATGAAAGAAATTATAAAATGATTGAAACAACCCCGATCACCTCGTTTCACTGAGTATTAGTTGAATGAATGACAAGCTGGACACACCCAAGTGGGCTGTGTGTCCAGTTTCTGAGCCTCCCTGGCTGCAGGGCCGGAGACAGGTCTGCACAGGTGTCCTCTGAGGCTGGGAGCCAGGGGCGCCGCGAGCCAGTGTGGTCGTTCCCTCCTCAGGCCTTCTCTCCATGGCCAACTCCGGCCCAAACACCAACGGCTCCCAGTTCTTCCTGACGTGTGACAAGACAGACTGGCTGGATGGCAAGCACGTGGTGTTTGGGGAGGTCACCGAAGGCCTGGATGTCTTGCGGCAGATTGAGGTAGGTGGCCGGAATGAGCCTCCTCCTCCCCGCCCTTGGTGCACAGCCCTGTTGGGGAGCTGAGGGGCGCTCGGTGGCCAGGAGAGCTGGGCCCGGGGCTCCCCAGGAGGAGGGGCTGCTCTGCCCTGTAGCCCTTCTTCTGAAGGGACAGGTTCTAGGGTGGGAGTGGGCAGATGGGGTGGGTACCCTAAGCAGCTCTTTGTCCCCACCTCATCCCTCCCCCGATTCCTCCTCTTCTGTTCTGCACAAAGGCCCAGGGCAGCAAGGACGGGAAGCCAAAGCAGAAAGTGATCATCGCTGACTGTGGAGAGTATGTGTGATCTGGCTCTTTCTCTGCTCTGCCCTCTCTCTGCTCCTGCCCGTGTGTCCAGGGGAACCAGCAGGGGGTCCCTGAGGGTGTCCCTTTGAAGAAGCAGCGTTTGTACCAGGAGACCTTCCTTGGTGACCATTGGAGTAGCCCCTCTGCAGGCACGGTGGGGACTTCCCCTGGGCTCCTCCCAGAGCGTGGCTGTGGGCACGGAGCCAGCGCAGGCACCCGCCCGCCCCACCATGGACAGTCTGTGGACGGTCACCAGCTTCGCCAGGCCTTTGCTGCCAGGACCTCTCCTGGGCCTGCTGGGACATTTTCTTCTGGTGAAATAAATCCTGGTTTTTGTACTGCCACCTGCCGGCCAGGTCCCACATATTTTCAGAGGTTGTCTGCCTAGACGGGCCACAGCACCTCCCCAACTGCTTCTGTCTGTTCCCACGGGCTGAGCCCCTGAGGAGACACCCTTGGACCATTGCAGGGCAGTGAAGTCGAAGCCAGTGCAGAAGTGCCTTTGTCTGTCTTCTACTGCCGGGCAGAAGAGTTAGGTCAGCGAGACACCAGCCCAGCCCTCGTGTCAACTGATTCTGATAGGAACCTGTGATCCGTCTCAGGGATCAACTTGCTCTTTATTCATTCATTGAATGAGTAGTGAGGATTTTATTATCGCAGGGTGCCCGGTGCCCTTCTTCTGCCAGGTGCTCTGCTTGGTGCTAAGGAGACAATAAGAAACAAGACAGAGGTGGTCCCTCCCTGACCCCTCACCCTCCTCCCGCCTAGAACTCGCAATGTTGCACCTCAGTCTGCAGCTGTGCTAGGCTGGCCCCATCAGTCACTGAAACCTCCCCCAGGGCTGCCACCTGCTCCGCTGCCACCTCCTGGTAGCTCTGTTGGGGTTGAGTCTCTCCTCAAAAACTACTGGGCTGGGCTGGCCTCTCAGCCTGTGTTCTTCTCATTTTGGGTTGAGATCAGACAGGGAGAAGCCTGCTGCCCCTTGCCAAGGGACCCTAGGCCAGCTCCTGTGGAGGATGGATGCCAGCCTTGCCTCTGGCACCCTGTGCCAGCCTGGGCCTCCACCTTTGGGGGGCCTCCCTCCTCAGCTGGTTTGGGCCAGCTCCCTCGGCTGGGAGCCACTGTTCCAGCATGGAGCCTTGCTCCTTGACGTCACTCTCCCTGCTGGTCAGTGGCATCGTCAGGACGGGCAGCAGCCGAGGCCAGGACCATGCCTGCTATGCAAGGCTGGTGTCACGTCCGGGAGAGAAGAGGATGTGTGGGAAGCACTCAGCACGGGGGCTCCGGTGGGCGGTGGTGGACAGGCTGGCCCAGGATCACAGGAGGGACTGGTCACATGACCTTGTGGAATGGAGGAGTTGTGGGGTGACCTTGTCACTGCACATCCCTGACTGCTGTGGGAGGGGGACAGTCCAGAGAGCCCAATGGGAGAGGACACACTGGGTGGCGACTGCCCACCTGGCACTCTGCAGGGCTTCACCAGGCATTATCTCAGGGCCCAGCTCAGGACCTGTATACAGTTGGTCACCTGAGCCCAGACACCCAGCTCCTTCAGCAGAGTTGTGCCTCCTGCTTGTGCCAGGTGCCACACAGAGGAAGAGAAAGTCACAGGTCCAGGGATTCTGGGTTAATGGGCAGCCCATGCTCCTGGCCTGCTGAGTCCTAGGTGCTGTTTGGATGTGGCATCATGGAGCCTCACAATCTCCTCTGGAAGGAATTGTGAGACCTGTTGTGTGAGAAAACTAAGGCTGGCTCATATGGAGAACTCAAGTGATGGAATGCTACGGGGAGTTGTTTTCAAAGAATATTTAATAACAAATTTTCAGAATATACATTGACTAAAGCAAGTCATCAGGCAGTACATAGAGTATGGTCCTAGCTCTGTAAAATACCTATTCTATGTAAAGACAAAAACATGTGCCAAGAAGAAAGACTGGAAGGAATTATTAACACTGTTCTCTCTCTTTGGTGGGATTGTGGGTATTTGTGTTCTGTGTTTGTTATTTTCAGAATTTTCCTTGGCACATATATAATTTTAAGACAGAAAAAAGGTTTTTTGTTTTAAAAGGGTCAAATGCTTGCTCAAGACTTCCCACTAAGAAGAGAAACCTTAAAGTTTTCCCCTTCGGCTTCCTGCGAGGGCACAGTGGGTGCTGTGCCCACTAACAGGACCGCAAGATGCCAGCATCTCTGAGAACATGCCCCGAGCAGAGGCCCAGGCACTGCGGCCATCCCCACAGGCAGGTGCAAGGCCACACCTCATCCCAAGGGATTACCCCGTTTAGCATCTAGGAAAAGCAGAGCTTTGAAGGAACTACAGCAGCAGCTCCAGGATACATTCTTGGAGGAGTGGGTTTTAATAGGAAGGCACGCAGGAGAGGCTCAAAATTTGCAAGTACATTTAAAATAAGACCACTAATGAATACTATTTATTTAACACATATGTGCACACCCTGCTAAGTGCTCTGGACAAATCTCATCCTCTGGATCAGGGCAGAACCAATATGCCATTCTAGAGGAAGAAGCAGCCTCAGAAGCTGCATAATTTAGTCAAAAGGCAGAGGATTCGATGCCAGGTCTACTTGTTCACTCCTTTCCTGTGAAATTGTGGGGAATTTCTCTAAAGCATGTTACCCACTTCCCTACACAGAGACATAAAGACACTAGAGTGTAATTTGTGTGGTGACCTAGCACTGGGGCCAGTGCTGCAGCTCTGAAGATGTCCCTGGGGTGTTTGAGGCAGACAAAGCTGTTTGCCCCCCACTGAGTGGTCCTTTGTGGCCTCCCTTCCTGTCATCGTTTACTTATTGCTGTTGGTGGGCCTGAGCTCACCGCCCTTGTTTATGTTCCTAATGTGTAGCCGCGAATGCAGTGTGGGCTGCCAGAGGCAGCAGCTAAACAACATTGTCTTGGTAACTGGATCTGAGCCCAAATGACCCCACCTCATGGGCTTTGTGTCTGCAGTTGCCTCACTTTCATTTCACGTGGTGGCTGCCTGGGTGGCTGTGGGTGCTGGAAGTCTGTCAGGAAAGCCGTGGCTGTAAAAGGTGTATCATGATGCTCACGTTCTGCTCTGTACGCTGACGGGCAAAGCCAAGTCCATCCCTTCAGAGCATTCCTTTGACAAGCTCCTGGCATACCCAACCACACCAGGCTGTGTGCTGGGCATTTACAACTGCCATTTAGTTGTAATCAGCTAATTTCCAAGGCTCCACTGCCCTTGATGTTGGGAGGAGAGTGGTTAAATAAGGTCCTGAAACAGCAGGTGGGCAGCATGTCACATAGCAGCCTTCGGCTGTGAGTGGGAATGCAGCTGTGAGTTCTTCAGCTGTGAGTGAAAGGAGAGGACGGGGTGGCAGGCATTCTCCAGTTGGAAGGGCCTCTGGAGATAAAAGAGTCGCATGTCCTCATGTCACAGATGGGAAACTGAAGCGTGGATAAGGAAGGGGGCTTGTCCAGACACCAAGCAGGTCAGTGGCTGAGCTGGGACCAGATACAGGTCTCACATCTGGGCCAGTGCCACGTCCCACCTGCCAGCTTGAGCTCGAAGCCCTAGGCTGATCCGGCAGCTGAGCAGACAGGCTGGGCCCGCCCCCAGTGCAGGGGAGGATCTCCCAGGTCTAGGTGGAGGGGCTGCTGTCCCGCAGCACAGCCCCCCAGCCCCACCCCTGCCAGATCTGTTCTCCTGGAGGCCCCTCTTCAGAGATGCGTATCACTGGGCTGCACCTGTGGACATGGTGGGCCCAGGAGCTGCTTTTAGTGATGGTATTTCAGGGTTCCTGCAGCTGGACCCTGCACCAGCAGGTCAATTACAGGCTTAGCAAGTCAGAAATCAAACACTCCAACTCCCAGCAGCTGCTCCAAGAACAGTGGTTTCTGGGAACAGTGGAGGCCGAGACAAACCTCCCTACCCAGCTCAGCTTAATTACTGCCTGTCACTCCCCTGGGATAGGGACCTTTTTGGCTCACAGGCCCCGAGAACCCTGACAGAGCTTCTGGGCACAGAGGGTGACACAGACTGGTGACCAGCCTGTTCTTAATACCTAGAAGCTGGCGGGCACTGGCTCACCCACCCTTGCGTCGTGACTGGCCATGGGCTGCCCAGCCCTTTCATGCTCTCCGGGGGATGGACTGCTCCTTCCTGCAGCAGAGTTCATTCCAGCTCTGAATGGCTGGTGGTGGCTGTCTGGAGCTCTGTGCGGAGGGTTTTGAGGCTCTGTCTGGGTTTGGTGGAAAAAGAACCCAGGTTGATTGATTAGTGATGTTGGCCATGGCCGACGATGTAGGAAATGGCACCATCTGTGCTCTGCCAGCCTGGACCACCCATGGCAGCTGCTGCCCTTGCTTCTGCCAAGAGTTAGCTTTGTCTCAGTGCTGAGCTCCAATTGGGTCAACATGGTGGAGACGGCTGTGGGAGCTGGAAGCCCCAGGTTCTTAGGTTTTCTGGAGGTCACACCTCTTCCCAGGCAGCAGCAGGGACAGGCAGCGCAGGAAGATGGGAAGCCAAATGCCATCAAACAAACATCCCCATCGGCTTCAATCTGAGGTCATGAGGCCCATCCAGCTTGTTCTGTTTCTGACCTACATGCTTCCCTGCATCCAGAGGCCAAGTTACAACTCCAAGAAGACACTGTTCTGAGGCATGTCCATGTTGTATAATTATGCCCCTGGAAAGGGGAAGACCCCTGACTGCCTACGCCCAAACCCTGTGGTGAAGGGTGCAAAGCCGGAGCTAGCCACCCTTGGGGTCCAGGTGCTCCTTGGACTGTCCTGGGTTGGCTACACAGGTCTGGGCCAGCACTGGCCATGGACAGGTCCCAAGATAGGACTTCGGTGCTGACCCCAGGCCCCAGACAGCCCCATGGGCACCTCCACGGCTGCTGTGTGCCTTAGGCCCACCAGGGTTCGGGCAGGACAGTCTGCCACAAATCCCAGGGGAAGGGGAGCAGAGGGTCCTGGAGAGGACCAGAGCCCTAGCAGAAGTGGGCAGGGGATTGTGGTGACCTCAGAGGGCCCTCCCCCCCACCCCTCCCTGAGCTATAACTGCATTTGAGGGTTTCCTGCCTGGAGAGAGGCCTAACGGTGGGGCGGGAGGGCTGCAGCAGGCCCAGGCGGGCGCGCCTTCAGTGGCAGCCACAGGCCTTGACCACCATGTTGCGGTGCTTGCGCAGGATGACATTGTTGCTGCTGTCGTAGTAGAGCACGGAGGTGGCGCTCAGCTTGGTGGGCGCGCAGCATGCCTTGGGGACAGCGTCAGGCTTCATCAGGTGCACCTGGCCAGGGAGGGCAGAGGCAGAGGCGTGAGCACGGCAGCCTCCTCTGAGGACCCACCCACCCAGCCACCAGCTCCCGCCTGCTCCCCGCGCAGGCCCCGGCTCATGGCTGTCTGGCCCTGCACACTCCATCCTCTCCTGCAGCCACAGTGGGTGCTAACTGGCACGGCTGACCCCCTGCCACTGCCCTCCTGGGGCCCTTCCCCCACCCCTACTACCCTCAGGGCTCAGCCTGAGCCCCTGGCTTGGTGGTCCAGGCCCCACACGCTTGTCCCACTGCTCCCCGGACCTCCTGCCCACGCCCTGCCATGTCCACCCGCTTCAGACATGGAAAGCCTGCTGTTCCCCCAACACACCATGCACCTGGTGCCCAAGCCCTCTGCCTGGAACGTTCTCTGAAGGACCTCTGGGATCCCTCCACTTTATCCTTCTCAGTATCCCTGATCATGTCTTGTCATCATGATCTGTTTGTGGGTCTGTCTCCCTCTCCAGAGGGTGACCCAGTGAATGTTCATGGAACATTCTAGACATTCAAGGTTCACCTTTGATGTGTTCAGCACTTAGGGGCAGATTATCCAGTAAGCAAGGTAAGCATGGTCTAACCTTACCTACCAGATCATCTGTAGTGAACAATTTCACATGTGGTGAACACATGATGTGAAACCCATGTGAAATTGTTCACTCCAGATTAGTAAGTAAGCACAAGTAAGCCTGTGCTTACCTTGCTGACTAGATAATCCACTCCTGTCAGGAATTGTAAATTTAAAAAGAGGCTTTGATTCTGTAGGAAGATGCTGTGGGGTTGGCAGAGAGACAGATGCCAGCCAGACCTAGAAGCAAATCTTTGATGTGGTTAAAAAAAAAAAAAAAAGTGAAATTGTTCACTAGAGATGATCTGGTAAGCAAGGTAAGCACCATGCTTACCTTGCCTATTGGCTAATCAATCCCTGTCAGCACTATTATCTCTCAAAGTACTTTTTGATTTCATGACAACTTCTGAGGCAAGCATTGCTCTGTGCAGATGAGGAAACTGAGGCACAGAGACCACGGGACGCATCCAGAGTCACCTGCCTATTGACAGTGTGACCAGGATGTGCCCCAGGTCAGTGACCTCTCTACTACGCTCTAGAACAGCTTTTACCCACCAAAAGAACCTGACTGAATGAGCAGGCCATTTTCAGCCTCCATAAAAATACTGATCCTGAGACTTGGCTGGATGAGCTGCCGTTTACACTGAAGGTCCCCAAGGTCAGCACCACTGTCCAGTGGGAATGTGGAGACAGAAGGAAACCTGCTGCTGGCAGTGTGTGTGGGCTGCTCGACTGGCCAGGACCTCCAGCCCTCACAGGTGCTGCTGAGCAGGACCCAGACAAAGCTGTCTGACGGGGCCTGTCCCACAGCCTGGCCTCCTCGTCCCCATTGCCCCCATCACCTTTGTCTGGAAGCCCCAGCAAGGCCTCTCCAGGATGTCCACCCAGAGTAGGACATGGGGCCGCTGCTCCCAACTTCCAGCCTCCACATGTGGGGGCTGGGCTCTCGGCATTTATGGGCCCATCTGAAGAGGCCAGGAGACATCACCCACGAGTGCCGGCCATGGTGCTCTAAGGCTGGGAACTGGGGAGGGTTTCTGCTGAGCTGGGACACGCGGGAGAGAAGTCAGCACCACGGGCGCTGCCATTCTGTGACTCCTTACCCGAGACCAGAGTTCTACCAGATGAGCGACAAAACGAGACATGGCCTTTTATACCGTCCAGAACCAAAGAGACTGATTTGTGGAGTCTAATGTATCATTCCATTCCATTCATTTTTGAGCTATGGACATGTGGGATACCAAATCAGAAGCACCGTTACTGATGGGATGTGCATCTTAGGTACAAACTGCACATGTCTGAGCCTCTCAGTTTTCTCCACTGCCAAGTGAGTATAGTGAGACTTTTCTCCCAACAAAAATGTTTCTCTGACACTGGCCTTGTGCCAGTCCTGCCAGCATGGGGAATGCAGAAATATCCCAGACACAGATGCTGCTCTCACAGCCTCAGCAGGGAGTGACAGGACAGAGCAAAACATTTCAATGAACAACCAGCACAATGATAACAGTGGGCCCACAGTGCTCTGGGAGTGTGAGGTGCTGACCACCTGTGCTCTCCCCTGGGGGAGGCGTGCAGGGCCGGGGTGAGGCGAGGAGGCCCCCTGATGCAAAGGTAGGGAGGTGTGCAACAGTGCAGCCTGTCCTGGGCCCTGAGAGCGTGCCCAGAGACAAGGGTCCTGGGATATGTGGGCAGGGGGAGGTTGGGCGGAGAGGCCTGCAGGATAGCTAATGAGGGGCCTTTCACCACATCTTTGGTATGGTAAAAAACAGGTGAAATTGTGCACTACAGATTAATAAGTAAGTAGAAGTGAACCCGTGCATACTTTGCTTATTGGATAATCTGTCCCTGCCCAGCCGACATCACCACTTGAAGGTCTAACAGGATCTCAAACGTATCATGGCCACAGCAGAATTACCAATTTCCACCAATCCTCCCCTCAACTCCAACGACAATTCTCCCCACGCCAGGCCTTCCCTGCCCTTGGTAAACAGGGTCTTCATCCACCCACGTTCCTCAGGCCGCACACACAGAAGGCACCTGATCTTCTCTTTCCTCACCCCCCTCCATCCACTCCATGGGAGCGTCCCATTGGTCTGCCTCCACCATCTATGCTCCTGACAACCTCTCATTGCCCACCCAGTCGCCCTGTCCAAGCTGCCACCACCTCTTGTCAGGCGCCACAGCAGCCTCCTCACTGGCCTCCCTGCCCCCTCCCCCCGGCCCCCTACAGTCCATCCTCCCGACAGTGGCCAGAGAGATCCTTCTAGAGAGTAAGGCAGATCATGACATTCCTCTGCTTAAACACTTTCCAACAGCTTCTTGGTTCATTTGGAATAAAATCCACCCTCCTGACTGGGGACCAAGACCTTCAATGACCCAGCCCTGCCCACCTTCAACTTCACCTCCCTCCACTCTCCCCTTTGCTCACTCCGTGCCAGCCCCACCTCACTGCTGGCCCAGAAGCCATCAAGCTACTCATTATCTTAAGGACTCTGATGGATCATTTTACATGTCAAGTTGATTGATTCTCAGTGGTTTGTCCAGATACTGGACTGGCTGATGTGATGTGATGTGATATAATCACCATCCATGATGTGATCTGATGTGATCAGTCGAAAGGTGAGTTTCCTTGGGTGTGTAGCCTGCCTCCAGAATGTAAATGGATATTCTAGCAGAATGTTCTCTCTCTCGACCGTGCACTCTTCTAGTTGCCTGACCTCTGGATCTTAGGATGAAAGCCTGCAGAAGTCTCTCACCTGCCACCTGACCTACTTATTTTGGACTCACCAGCCTCCGCAATCCCATGAGCCAGCAGAGGTCTCCAGCCTGCTGCCTGGCCTATGGATTTGGGACTTGTCAGCCCCCACAACTGCATGAGCCATTTTCTTGAAGTAAATCTCTCTATATATATATTTATATATATATACATATACATCTCACTAGTCTTGCTCCTCTAGAGAACCCAACTAAGATGGGGCTTTTGTCTCCCAGGAACATTCTCCCTGCAGCTCTTGACACGCTCCTCCTCCTGCAGAGGCCCCGCCCAGTCTCTCTCTGCTGAGTGGCCCACACTTCCTTTCCTCACAGAAGGCATCTTCAAGTCCCCTGGTCTGTGTGTTCACTGGCATCAGCCCCAGCAGGTAGGGGCTGTCTGATGTGCCGCCCAGCCCTCGGTGAGTGCCCATGTCTGTGACTGATGCCTTGGGAGGGGCTGAGGGCCTGGGTCAAGGTGGTGACAGGAACTGTGTGGCGGGGACAGACTCGGGAGTACAGGTGGGATCATCACACCTAATAACCTCCTCACAGGGCAGTGGGAACCACATCACACACGGGCTGGGCCAGGTTCCTCCACACATGTCTTAGCATCACCCCCCCTCTCCGCCCCCTGAGCTTTTCCAAAGGAAGTCAGCTCCTGGGTGTCCAGCAGACCCCATCTGACTGCTGGGAAAATAAGCATTAGCACAACATCAAAGCTGCTTTTGTTAAATCATTTGCACTCAATCTAAGACAGTGATTGAGTCTAGCAAACATAAGGATCTGGGAGACTAGGAACTAGGATTCCAGCTAAAAAGTTCTAGAAAGCCGTTTCAACACCAGAATCCGCAAACACAGAAAGCACTAACAATAAGCAGGAGCAACAAGGTTCCTATTAGAAAAAAATTTAAGCTTTTAGAATTCCCTCAGAACCTGGGGCATCGAAAAGCATACAGTCTGTAGAACCCACGGAGAACTAGGAGGGACTAGGGGAAAGCCCGTGAAAGGACACTGAGGAGTTGAGAGCCAAAGCCCATGGTGTGTAAGCGCCACACGCTGGAGTTCCCTGACATACGTCAAGACAGAGGGTGTGCGGGGGCGCGTGCGTGCAATGACAGAGGGTGGGCGGGGGTGCAAGCCATGATGGAGGGTGTATGGAGGCACACGCACACCGCTCACATTGTGTGTGCATGTGTCATAGGAGGGCAGCACACAGGTTCACATGGGCAGGTGTGTGTTAAGTTCACACAGGTACCCAGGTGGGTGTGCGTGACTGTTACATATGCCTGGGCATCTGACCACATGGAGGTGTGCCCACATAAGTTCACAGATGTCCCATGTGTGTATGTGCAGCGCAGAGACCGTGTGTGTACACGGCTTTTTAGTCGATGTCTGCGGTGCACGAGGTTCAGCTGTATACTGCGTGTGCATGAATTTAAGCACATGTGTGGATTCCATGCAAAGAAAACTCCCCCAGACACGGAGCAGGTGCTCTCATTCCCCTGCGGGCTGTACGAGCCCCCTCCCGTCAGCCCCCCACCCCCATCCCCCTCACCCCTACCCAAGGTGCAGGCAGGACAGGCGCGGTACTGACCAGGGACTGCAGGATGGCGTGGTTGGTGGCATTCATGCAGGAGTCCAGTGGGAAGGAGCACTCCCCCTCACAATAATAGGCCGAGTAGCCTTGCGGGGCAATGACCCAATCCTGGGGGGAAGGGAAAGGGTGAGTCCACCATGTGCTCTTCCCGGGTCCCTGGGTCCAGCGCCGTCACAGGAGGACTCATGGCTGCGCCTCCCTGAGCCGCAGGGCGCATCTAACATCATTGGGCTCCACAACCACCTCAGAGGTTGGAAAGCCCCGGAAGACCCTCAGTGGATAGGGCTGGGCACAGCCTGTCCCCTCCACACCCCGCCAGTGCTCTGCTGCCACACCCCCATGTCTCCTGTAGCTGCAGCCGCAGCAAACGCAGGGAGGCAGTGCCCACCCTGCCTCAGTTTCCCTGTGGCAGCTCTGACATTTTAGGTGCCTGAGGATTCAGAGTCTCCATTTTCATGATTTTTACCAAAAAATACTTTCTCATTACAAAAGTGGCACATTCTCACTTTAGAAAACTTGGAAAATACCAAAGGTAAAAAATACATAAAAAAGAAAAATCACCCATAATTCTACCTCCTCCCGGGAGGGACACTTAGGATGGAAAGGTGGGTTTGTCAGTTAAGAAAGGAGCAGAGTCGGGAGTTACCAGCCAGCCGAGGTCCTGGAAGCTGACGTAGAGCTCGTGCCGCTGGCACACCTGCCGCCCGACGGAGCCGTGGACGTCATCTGGAGGGACAGACAGTACAAGGTCTTTTCTGGAGGCCGGCTCTGTCCATCTACCATGTGGGGGTCCCCGGGAGGGGGCTGCCCTGACGGGCATATTTGTTGAATAAATAGATGATGGGAATTTAAGCATTTGGTCTCATAAAGCCCAAACCTGGAGCTCAGCTCATGCCACCACCCAGCTCAAGAGCCTTCAATGGCTCCCAGCTACTGTAGAGTAACCCCATGCTCAGCCTGCCCCCCCCCGTCCCCATCAAACAGGACCCTTGGCCAACCCAAGGATGGAGGACAAGCACATCCTTTTTCCTCCAGAGACAGCTCCCACCCTCTCCAGCCACGTCCATTCCACACATTCAAGTGCGCTCGGCTGAGCCCAGCAAAGGGCAGCGCCCGTGAAGCAGGGAACATGGCAGGTCACGGCTGTCCCTGACCCCAAGGGGCTCAGCCCAGTGAAGTGACCTTCACATAAATAACTGCAGATCCTGCAAGTGTCCAGGGAAGAATCAAGGGCTGAAAGGGCCTGTGGCTGCCTGGAGGAAGGGGCGATTGAGTGAAGTCTGCGAAGGGCTCCTGGAGAAGCCAAGGGAGGGCAGAGAGGGGACTTCCAGATGGAAGGGCGGTCAGTGCAGAGGCTCAGAGCGTGAGACAGGGGAGCGGCCGGTCGCCTGGTGCATGGGGCAAAGGCCGGTGTCTGGAGAGGTGGCTGGAGGGAGCCTGGTCGCTTGAGCCCTCCTGAAGGCCCGGAGGGTGCTGTCCCACCACCTGGCTCCCGCGCAGCCTCTCTAGGCAAACGCCTGCCAGAGCTCAGAGCCAGGCCAGCCCCGGACCTCACCAAAGATGCCCGGGAGCCTGTGTGGCTGTGGCAGCTCATTGGTTTTCTTCAGCAGCCTCCTCTTTAGTGGCCTCACTGCCCGCGGGGCTCGGACGGGACTCGGGCTCGCCCTGAAGAAAGTGACCACGAAGGGCTGTCTGGGGCGCGGCGCTCGGTGCCCCAGCAGACCGGCCAGGCCAGGGTCCACGCTGTGTCCTGAACAGAGACAGGACAGAGGGCGGTCGGTGAGGGTGGCGTTCTTGCTCATGGGCACGGCAGGGACCTCTCTGCTGGGGCCAGGGCAGGCTCAGGAGCACAGAGGCTGAGACCTGAGGGGGGACCCGCTGTGCGTCAGTTTCCCATCTGAAGACCTGAGTCCTAAGTCCAGCCAGCTCCCTGCAGGCAGGTCTGAAAGAGGCAGTGGGTGGGAGGTCCCTGGGGAACCAGGCACCCTTATGAGTTACGGCCATGAAAAGTGACATTTGCGGAGCATTTTGCATGTTTCAAAGTCATTTCACACACACATCTCACTCGATCTTTACAGTAATCCTGCATTTCATGAAGAAACTTCAAAGTCAGGGACCCTCAGCCTCAGGGATCCCCCCTCGGTCTGAGGACTCCAAGGCCCTGTGCAATCTTCCACCCCATGCTTTCTGGGGATGTCTGGGTATGCTTTATGGTAGCACCCAGCTGATTTTAGGAACTGCTAGCATTAGTGAGTGCTGCTCTGATCCCCATTAATGAGACCCCAAGACTCAGGGGCAGAGACACTTGAAGGAGGCCCCAGAGTCGGGGCTCAACCTTCTAGACAAAGTTCTTATCCACTCAGATGGGTTTATAGTTAAAAAAGAAGAAAGGCTATAGGCAGGGACATGATTTGGGCCCAGCCGTGGGAATAGTGAAGCCTATAAAAATGGGGTTTTATCCCACAGCTGTTGAAAGGCTGAAAATGACAGGAAAAAAAACAAGCTAATTAGCCCTGGGAATGTAAAGACGCCACCAACAAAACCACCTTCTGGTACCTTTTTTATTTTCAAATATCCTCTTTTTTTTTAAATTATAAAAGCAACATAATAAACACAGCAGAACAACTTTTGAGAAAAACGTATCACTCATAAGCCTCCTCCCCCACTCCAGCACATTCATTTTCGTTTTTCTAGGGTGTTTTCATAGGCTGGTTTTTAAGTTTTACACAGTTGTCAGCACAGTGAAGAAGTCTGCATTTCCACCCAACTATTTCACATAAATATTGTCCTGGTTGTCAAAATAAGTCTCAATAATAAATATTTCAAATGCAGAAAATTACTTTGAGTAGATACACCATACTTTACTTGGCTATTACCTTATTGTTAGACATTTGGATGATTTCCTGGCTTTTGTTATAAAGATGAAAATGCAATAGAACCTCTTCATTGTTTTTCCTGTGAAATTTTCTTAGACTAAATTCAGGAGCAGGATTCCTAACCCATTTTTATGTCTCTTAAAACATAGTATCAGTGGTTCTATTTACACAAGCGTACACTTATCTCAGTGTTGGAAGCACTCACACACACATACATACATGAGTAGATGTGTGTGTGTATATATACACATGTGTACATACATATATACATTTATATACACATTATACATGCGTCTATTTGTGCTATGTGGTTGTCATTGTTAGTTGCTGTTGAGTCAGCTTGATCCATGGAGACCTTATGTATAACAGAACAAAATGTTGCCCAGTCCTGCACCATTGCCATGATCTTTCATATGTCTGAGCCCATTGTGACCATTAAGGTTGTGTGTCAACTTGGCTGGGCCATAATTCTCAGTGGTTTGGCAGTTACGATGCAGTCTGGCAATTGTATAATGATGTGATCACCCCCATGATGGGTCTGCTGTGAGTAGCCGATCAGCTGAAAGGGAGTTTTCTTGGGGTTGTGGCCTGCATCTAACATAGGTGAACTTCTTGGCATGGCTTGAGGGCTTTTGCTTGCTCTAGATCTTGCAGTTGGCTCCTGTTCATCTGACCTCCAGTTCTTGGGACTTGAGCTACAGCTTACCTGCTGATCTTGGGATTTGTCGGCCTCTGTAGCCTGTGAGCCAGAGGCCTGTTGTCTGACCTGCCAATCTTGGGATCGCCAGCCCCCGTAGCTACATGAGTCAGAAGCCTCCAGCCTGACACACAGACTTGGGACTTTCTAGCCTCTACAATCACGTGAGCCATTTCTTTGATATAAATCTTTCTCTCTATATACATATATAGACATTTCACTGGTTTTGCTTCTCTAGAGAACCCAGCCTAAGACACCCATTGTTGAGGCTACTGTGTCAAGCCATCTCATTGAGTGTTTTCCTCATTTTTGCTGACCAATTTGTTCCACAGCAGGTCTAAAACAGTTCTCCATTATACACTACAGGTCAAGGACATTGCTTGCCTGCCCCACCCACAGTCCCACTCAAAGGCCAGCCCTTAGACAGCAGTGCTTTAGACCCGGTGTCCACTGGCCACCATCGACTAAACAAAAATCAATCTAGAGACCAACCTTTGACCTATGACATCACCTGCCACACACAAATGAACTTGGCCAATTGGAGGCTCACTGTCAGGAATGTGGACAAGAGCTGCTAAGATAAGGAGGGTGTTAGCTGCAAGAGCTGACCCCAGAAGAGTGCGAGAGCGAAGCCATTCGGTAGAGTTTGGGACACAACAAGTCAAAGTTGAGGAAGCAGCACTATGAGGAAACAGAAACCACGAGAAAAGTGAAATAAGTGCAGAGCACAGGGGAAAGGTGACTGAGGTCACAAAGAGGAGAATGGAGTGGATTTGAGTGGGGGAGCCAAGAGTCATCAATGCCAAGCCCTGGAGTGGAGCTCCACTGACTGGTGGACACATGGAGCGGGGGTGGCCTTTGAGTCAGAGAAGGCCCTCCAGGCCTTTCTGTGCCACTGCTCTGTCCTTTGAGTCCCAGCAGGGCCCTGTCTACCTTGGGCCCATGGAGGTGGATCAGTCCTCTAAGGCTTTGTTCACCATTTGTCTTCCCTTTGTACAATTGTCTGTTCAAGGATTTCACTGGGGTCTCCTGGGTGCAGAACAGAAGGATACATAAACTCAATGATGCCACAAAGCCTCTTGGAACTCCCTTGAGCCAAGCCTTGTGTTGGGTGCTGGGGAGCCCTTTGGAGGCTCTCACAGGCATAACAAGCCTGCCTGAGGATCCCTGGAAGCATTTAATCCTAGTTTCTATTTTACAGAAGCAGAAACTGAGATCGAGAGAGTAGTCACTGTTCGAGGTCCCAGAGCAAGCTGCAACAGAGCCAGGATATTCCTACCCTTCCCCAGCAAACTGGGCCGAGGTGTGGGGTTGGGGGGCAAAGGGCTAGCATCTGGTTTCTTTCAGAAGTCCTAATTTAGCAGTCCTGGGAAAAGGCCTCTCCAGCCCTCCTTCCACAGCCAGAGCTCCCCCTTCCCACTGGCTCTGCTTTTTGCTAGCCCATTCTGTGGCAAGATTCCTAGGCTCCAGCTGACAGTTGGTGAGCCCCTAGGCTGCCCAGGTCCCTTTCCCAGAAAGGCAGAGCCCTCTTGGGGTCCAGGGCCCCTGCCTCTAGACTTGACCTTGTGAGGGAGTTGACAGGGATGCTGTCCCCTTTGCAGATGACAGGCTATGCTGAGGGCATGCATCCAGATGTGGGACACACTGTGGCCTTCCCCTTTAGGCACAGATGGAGCTGCTGCTCCTCTGAGCTGAGGTGGGCCCAATGAGGCCCCCAGCCTCACCTCATTTCTGAGCGGTACCATCACAGCCCAGAAAGTCCTGGCAGCTCACCTGCTCTGTCCTGTCCTAGGGTAGGTGGTTAGCCCCCAATTTAAATCCTCTCTGCTGCATATCCAGGCCAAATATTGCCTCTCCCCAAGGCTTCTCTCTGTTCTAGGTGCCACCTGACCCTTCCCTGCAGTCCCTGCCCCACGTCAGCCTGCAGTTGGGAAGTAACCCTGTTGTCATGTTGAAGGACAATCAGGATGACTGGGTTGGAATTCTTGGAGGGAAATCCCACTGTGGACATGTTTAAGACCAGAACTGTTTTTGACCCTTAGGTTAGTTCTTAAAACTTGGTCATATGAGAGACCCAGCATTTCCTTCTCTCAACTATCCTAACAGCCCTCCACTTGTCTGCTGGAAAACCTCTGTGTTTTCCACCTGCTGCTGGAAAACTCCTGACACCCAGGGCAGATCAGGTTACCTTCCTCCCAGCAGACTCAAAAGATTCCCTACTGTCCATTCAATGGCATTCCATGCCTCCATCCCCTGGCCAAGGTCCCTGGCCCCTCCAGGCTGTCTCCTCAGTGAGCACTGTCTCTACCTCCCCGTCTCTCCCTTCCAGGATCTGGTCCTGCCTTCAGGGCGAGTCTCCTTGACCTTTCTGCTCTTATCAACATGCTCCTATGGGTTGTGTGCACCCTGAGAACCACCTGCATAAAGCCAATGCAGAGTTTTTAACACTTTACACATACATACTGAGTTTTTCCTTTTATTTTTTGACACTGCAGGTTCAGGATAAAATACCTGACAGCCACTCTTGGGTTACGAGGGAGTGTTACACAAGAGGCTAGGTAGAGCCTCCATACAGAGAGGAAGGATATAAGAGTTTTGTCTGGATAACACGGGAACACTATGATATAAGATGAGAAAACTCATCGAAGTCCACCATAGGGTTCGAGTGCACCACCTGTTATAAGCACAGGTGGACTGTTTATTTCTAGAGGAAGCTTCCTGGTAGAATGTCAGCACCCAGAGTCCCTCCTGCAGTCTCTCCCAGCAACCAGTTCACTGTCCCACCGAGATGGTCCTGCCTTCCTTCTAGGGCTATCTATTTAGCTACAAGGAGGAGGAGTGTGGAGGGAGGAAATAAGGATAGAGGGAAATAAAATTCAGCAACACAATGAAAGGGCCCAGAAGAAAAGTCAGAGGAGCCAAAGGAAATCTGTAGGAGTATTTCTGTCGATCACAAATTCACATGTTTGTATAATATTCTTCGTATTAGTAAAATGGTGCCTTAAGTATACTCTGAGTGCAGTTACTTTCTCCCTCATCATTTTTGTCTCTATTTCATGACTGAACTGTGAGGGAAAACACGTCAATAAAACCCTTCCTACGTGATCATCTGAATTACATGTTGTTGTTGTTGTTCGGAGCCGTAGAGTTGGCAGTGACTCACAGCGACCCTGTGTACAACAGAACGAAACACTGCCTGGCCCGGCACCATCCTCACAATCATTGTTACGCTTGAGCCCATTGTTGCAGCCACTGTGTCAGTCCATCTCATCTACTGTAATGTAAATGAAAGGGCCACCAATGTCCTCACCGATTGTCCCAGAGCTTTCTCAGCACTTACAGAACATACACAATAAGCTTTTATGTTTTTTCTCTGGTTTTTAATTAGAGTCATATGCCTCTTGAGAGAACAAAGTCTGTCCAGCTGTAGGAAGTCTGAGAGCCAGGGAGGAATCTAGTCAGACTGCTTGTGAAACGTGAAAACGTGATGACTGACTTCCTAAGAGGTGAAAATGAAAGCCACACATTCCGTGATAAAGGTTGACTTCACATTTTACATTGTAATTTGCTGCATTGGCTTGAGGTCAGGTGAGACTGTGAAGGCACACCCTGTGCTCTTTTTGATGTCATCCACTGTCAGGCCTTCCCAGAGCTCAATCAGCGTCAGTCCTCTCTTTGGGTGCACGTTGAACACGGCCCTTTCCGTGATGATTCGGTTCACACAGCGCTTCCCAGTCAGTGGCATCGTGCACTTGTCCACGATTTTGGGTTCATTTGCCTTTGAACAATGCTCCATGGTGACCACCACTCTGGTTTTGGGACTGGACACAAGATCCATGGCACCTCCCATTCCTTTCACCTTCTTCCCGGGAATCATCCAGTTGGCCAGGTCACCGTATTTGGAAACCTGCATTCCTCCCAGCATTGTCAGACCGAGGTGCCCACCCCTAATCATTGCAAATGATTCATCACTGGAGAAGAAAGAAGCCCCAGGAAGAACAGTGACTGTCTGTTTGCCTGCATTGATGAGATCGGCATCCACCTCACTTTGGACTGGAAATGGCCCCAAGCCCAGGATTCCGTTTTCACTCTGAAGATGAACAGTCATATTTGGGCTGATAAAGTTGCTGGCCAGGAGAGGGATTCCTATGCCCAAATTAGCATACATGCCATCCTCAAATTCCAGAGCCGCCCGTTTGATGATGCGGGTCCTCAGATTATCTTCAGATGTGTGTTTTCCCGCTCCCTCTTGTCGGACTGCTAAGCGCTCAATTCTTTTCTCATACTTTTCTCCCTTTATCAAGCGGTCTACATAAATGCTAGGCACATGGATGTCTTCTGGGGAAAATGATCCGACCTCCACAATTTCTTCAACCTCTACCACTGTGGTTTCTGCAGCTTTGCACACAGGCACGTTGAAGTTCCTTGCGCTTTTCCTGAAGATAACGTTTCCTGAGCGGTCGGCCTTCCACCCTTTCACCAAAGCAAAATCTCCTTTGATTGCTTCTTCCAGAAGGTAATGGTGGCCATGAAACTCCCTCACCTCTCTTGGCTTACTGATGACAGCGAGGTGGCCGTCATCGTAATACCTGATGGGCGCGCCTCCTTCCTGGACCAGGGTCCCGTAGCCCGTGCTGGTGTAGAAGGCGGGCACCCCAGCGCCGCCTGCGCGGATCCTCTCGGCCAGCGTGCCCTGGGGCGTCAGCTCCAGCTCTAGCTCCCCAGCTAAGTACTGGTTCTCGCAGAGAGCGTTCTCCCCCACGTAGGAGCAGATGATGCGTCTGATCTGCTTGGTGGCCAGTAAGAGGCCCAGTCCGAAGTCGTCCAAGCCGACCGTGTTGCTCACCACGGTGAGCCCTTTCACCTGGGTCTTCAGCAGGGCCCCGATCAGGTTCTCCGGGATCCCGCAGATCCCGAAGCCGCCCATCAGGACGGTGGCGTCATGAGGGATGTCCTTGACGGCCTCCACCGCGTCTGTGTAGAACTTGGCCTGGTGTCGGGGGCTGGTGGAGAAGCAGAGAGCACAATCCTTGCGAGCGGGGACAATCCGGGCGCCCCCCGAGCGGCCCGCAATGGCGCCAAGCCGCAGCCCAGAGGAGAGGAGCCGGAGTGCCGCCATGTAGGGTGCGCGGTCCAAGGCCCCTCAGGCAAGAGACCGCGGGCGCACCACTGAGCCCCGCGTGGCGCGCCCCGGCCACTGCTGCTGCCGCCGCGGGCACCGCCGCCGCGTCACAGAGCCCGAGCGCCCGCCGCGGTGACGTCCCCGGGCCCGAGGGGTGGGAATGGCCTAGTGGCGGGGCGGCGACCCTCTCGCAGTTCCACATGAGGACACAGGCACAGAGAGGCCAAGGAGGCGCCGGCCACACAGCAGACAGAATGGAACCTGTCTGGCTCCCTCGTGCTATGCGCGCTACGCTACAGCAGCAGCCTCACCGGAGGGAGCTGCTCATGCGGCTGTGCTCCTGGGTTTGGGGTTGGGGAGGCCCAGAGGGGATTCTGTGCTGTTGGCCTCCAGTCAGCTCGCTGAGCAGAAGCCTCTGTACCCAGCATCTCTGACGGGGCAGGTGCTGCCCTCGGTCCAGTCCCCGTCTCAGACCCAGGCCCTCACAAAGCAGAGCAGAACACAAGGCCTCCAGTGGGACACTGACCCAAAGCCCTTCTTGCCCCTGCCTGACCCTGTGGAGCCTCTGCCATAAACTCCAAACCCTTCAGAGCTTCCCGAGACACTGATACCTAATGAACAGACACTGGGGGTGACATAATGGTGATGGCGCTGATAAAGATGAACAATGGTGGGTGATGTGACAGCCACCCTCACTGAGCACCCACTTTGTGACCTGTTTAATCCTGCTGACAACTCCAAGAGCAGCCTGCCCCACTCATCTCACCTCCCTGGAAGAGTTCAAGTTCACCCCTCACTGTGACAGCAGGGACACATGGTCCTGCACAGCCATCAGTCACAGGGGAAGGGTCCCTGCTCCTGAAGAGGCTGCCCCTCCTTGTGCTTTGAGTCCCCACACCGGGAACTAGTCAAGGATTCTGTACTTCTCCTCTCTCCACTGAATCATCCCCATCGGCACACCCAAGCACTCTGCTACCTCCTAATCTGAAAAGGCCCTCCTTGACCCCACATTTCCCTCCAGCCACCCCATTTCTCAGATCCCTCCTCCAGCAGAGGTTCTGGAAAAGAGTTGTCTAGTGTCTCAGCCACCTGCTTTGGTTCTCCCTCCAGCTCCCCAATCAGACTGCGTCCCCACCCTCCACTGAGCTGCTCTGGTCAAGGATGTCAGCAACCTCCATGTGTCTAAACCCTCCGGTCACTTCTCAGTCCTGGCCTTACTCAACCTCTACAGAGGACAGGTGACACTCCCTCCTCCGGGGAAGGCTTCTTTGCTTCCTTCTTCCTTCTCTTGGCATCGGGGTCACCTTGTTCCCCAGTGTCCTGGTTCATCCCTGGCTAGCCACTCTCAGTCTCAGTTGTGGCCCCTCTTTGGCAGGACCTCTGGATATGGAGGCCCCAGGGCTCCCGGCCAGTCCCCTCTTTGCTGTATTGCTATGTTACTTCCCTGGGTGCCCCGTCCACTTCCATGGCTTTAAATCCACTTATATCCAGTGGTTCCCACACCTGGCTCTCCAGCACTCACCTTTCCCTGGAATGGCGTTTGCACGTGGATGTCTACCAGGGTCTCAATAATATCACAAGAGAACTCTTGATTTCCTACCTCAAACCTGCTCCTCCTCTAGTTTTTTCCAACTCAGGCAAAAAAAGAAAAGAAAAACAAAACAAAACAACAAACTATTAAAAATCTAGGTGGGGAGGAACAACTCAGAAAAGGAGGGTGTGAGACTGGTTGCACAACTCAAAGACTGTAATCTATGTCACTAAATTGTACCTGTAGAAGTTGTTGAATTGGTGTATGTTCTGCTGTGTATATTCTCAACAAAAATAAATTATAAACAAAAAAATTTTCCTTCACCTGCACTCCCAGCTATAAATATATCCTGACAATTCTACCTTCATAACATGATTTCTGATCTATTCACTTTTCTCCGTGCCAGCTGCTCCCAACAAGCACTTACAGCTCTCCCCTGGACCATGGTGTGGCTCCGACAGGTCCCTCTCACTTCAGTCTTGTCCACTGTCCCCACTGAGGTCAGAGGGTGCTTTATTTTATACATAGATTTAAATAAACTTTGTATTTTACAACAGTTTAGCTTTACAGAAAAACTGCAGAGATAGTACAGAGAGTTCCCATATACCTGGCACCCAGTGTCCCCTGTTGTTAACATTTTACGTTGCTACGGTACATTTTCCACAACTAATGAACCAATATTAACACATTATTATTAACCAAACACCACACTTTATTCAGGTTTCATTAGATTTCCCGTAACATCCTTTTTTTGTTCCAGGATCCTGTCTAGGATACTGCATTGCATTTATTCATTATGACTCTTTAGGCTCCTCTAGGATGTGACAATTTCACAGACTTTGTTTTTGAAGACCTTTAAGTATTAAGAAGTAATGGTCAAGGCTTAATGGTCTGACAGAGACTAGAGGAACCCCTGAAACTACGGTCCCCGGACACACTGTTAACCCAGAACTGAAACCCATTCCCGAAGCCTGGTCTTCAGGCAAAGATTAGATGGGAGTATAAAACAAAAAATAACACGTGAGGGGTGTGCTTCTGAGTTCAATCAGATGCATGAGCCCTAATGGGCAGCTCCTGTCCAGAGGCAGGATGAGAAGGCAGGAAGGAACAGGAATTGGTCGACGGACACAGGGAACCCGGGGTGGAAAAGGGGAGTGTGCTGTCATTGTGGAGACAGCAACTAAGTTCACAAAACAATGTGTATAAATTTTTGTATGAGAAATTAACTCGAGCTGTAAAGAAGTAATGGCCAATTACAACAAAAAAAGATACTTTAAAAAAATTTATATCACAACTGAGAAAAAAACTCACTTTCTTAATTGTAAAAAAAATGAATACAAATTAATCCACGTTACCATGTTACTAAATTTAAAAATTATAAGATGAAATATAACTAATAATCCTGATTTCTAAAAAGGAAATTGTTAGGTATTCTGTAGAACGTCTTTCAACATGGGTTTGTCTGCTGCTTTTCTCATGGTTAGACTGGAGTTAGTGGGTTTTGGGAGGAAGATCACCAAGGTGAAGTGCCATTCTTATCACATCATATCAAGGGTACCTGCAATCAACATGACTTATCACTGTTGATGTGAACCTTGGTCACTGAGCTGAGGCGGTATTTGTCAGCTTTCTTCAATGTACAGTTACTTCCCCATCCCCTTTCCACACTGTGCTCTTTGGAAGCAAGTCACTAGGCGTAGCCCACACTTAGGGGTGGTGAGTTGCTCCACCTCCTTGAGGTGAAGTATACCAGAGGGTTCTTTTTTAAAAACTCAAACTAGATCTTATCATACTCCGTTGCCATTAAAAAAAAAAAAAAAAAAAAAAAGCTACCCTGAAAACTCCAAACACCTTGCCCTGGTCTACCCTAACTCAAAACCTCTCTCAATCTTGTCTTCTTCCTGTTTCCCTCACCCACTCTGCTCCAGCCACGGCAGCCCTCCTGCTATTCCTCAAACACGGCCATCTTGTGCCCACCTGAGGCCTTTCTAACACCAGTGCCTTTCTCTTCCCCCAAAATACCTATTAAATGAATGCGTGAATCTTTATTGTATAGATGAGAAAACAGGCTTGGAAACGTAAGTACCTCCAAGATCACCAAGGTAGAAAGTTGCAGAACTGGGATTCAAACCCAGCCTCTCTGACTCAAAGCCTGAGGGTGTAATCACTTCACCCTACTGCCCCTCCCCTGGGTAGGAACTTCCAGTGTAAAGAAGGTTGCTCTGTAGAAAGAATTTCCTATTTCTTGGGAAGAAAAGCATTGACTCACTCTCTTAGCAACTCAAATGTTGGTTCTGGAGAAGGAGAGGAGGGAAATCACCATTGTGTGAGGGCCTACTATGTGTCCTGCACTGTGCCGGGAACCTTACTGGCTTTACCTCATTGACTCCTCACAGTGCGGAGGGGGTTATAACCCAGTGTTACATCTGAGAAAGGCTGGGCATCCAGGGCCAAAACGAGGCAGACCACCACTGTCTCTGACATGGCCAACAGCCTCAGAGGTGCCCCAGGAGAACATCTGCTGCCCAGAGCTCGAGTCTTACCATCCTCCGTTTCCACATAGAGGCGGAGTCCGAGGTCCTTGTTATGGTTCAACAACCAGCGGTCACTGGCTGCTGTGACGTCCAACACCAGCCAGCCCTCGTTCCCAGCTCGGAGCGTCTGAAGATCCAAAAAGAACAAGTCAGACTCCCTGTGGACACGAAAGAACAATTAACCGAGGCTGGCACAGCTGCCCTGTGTTTCTAGTGCTCGCCTGGGGGACATCTGTGGAGCATCTACCCTGCACATGGCTCTGGGCTGGGTGCCTTTACGTGCACTTTCTTACTGTATCAAAGGTGTTGCTGCACCCATGTACAGACAAGGAAGTTGAGGCCCAGGAGGCTCAGTGACCCGTCCAAGATCCCACAGCCAGGACTGGCAGGGCCAGGATTTGAAGCCAGGACTGATGCTGGGCTTTCCAAAGTGCCAAGAGGCCTCCGGGGTCAAGCATGTTTCCGCCTCTGAGGCTGGTTTCCCCAGGAAGTTCCTCTTTCTGTCCTCTGGGAAATGTTCCCACCCCCAACCTCCACCTCGGGCTGGGCCGGACACACCAACAAGAACTTGACTGTGAGGGCGGCAGGCACAGGGTCGAGGGGAAGGCACCTGTTGGACTGCTCCTTGACCACCTCCAACATGCTGACGTGGAGGGTCCTGTTGACCTGGTGGGCGCTCGGCACCTTATAAATCCGGAACTCAGCAGCCGTGACCACCTCCCCCGCTGGGATCTGGGTCAGGTCAAACCAGAACTCCTTCCAGTAGGGCTCCTGGTGGGCCAGAGTGTGGTCGCGCTCCACTGGAAGACAGAGCAGGGCCGCATGGTCACTCATGGCACCGAAGCACAGCAGACCCAGGCTCAGGGTCACTGCCCACGGGCTGTGTGGCCAGGGAATGGCACCCAGACTGGGCAGGGCCATCTCCTCCTCTGTAAACAGGCTCTGCCCCCACCCCAGGGGGTTAGGAGGGTTCTGTCAGGTCATTAGTGAGACGCTCCCTGCACAGAGCTCAGCTGGGGTGGGCTTTCATTCTTGGCCCCGTGGGCAACGCCACAAACACTGCCTGCCCCCGCTCAGCCCCCTCCTGCTCCGCGGCCCACAGAGGAGACAGGACAGGTCCCTCCTCTGGGACACAAGGCTAATGGGGAGATGAACATTGGACTCAAGGGAGAAATAGGGCCACAGCCCCAGTGGCAAAACCTGGTGGCCATGGATATACATGACTGCGTTTCACTGGGACAGTGGCTGTCCCTGATCTGCCCAAAGCACCTGGATGGGAGGAGGAGGGAAGAAGAGAGCTTGGAGCTGACATTTGAGCTGGGCTTTAAGAGTGAGTTGGAACTTATCAGGATGTCGAGGGAGGGACCAGTGACAGCAAAGGGACCAGATTGCTGAGGACCTTCAGGGCACATGGGAAAATAACCACCAAAAATAACAGTAAAGGGTGAAAGGATCAAATGGAACAAGGTGAAGAAGGAAGAAGAGCCAAGAGAGACTGGAAAGGAACAAGGGAAAACAAGGTAGGAGTGACAAGCTCCTTGAGACCCAGATCAAGTGCTGGGGGACATCAGAGGGTCCCATCAGGGTGGTGGAATCTGAAATGGCTTCATGGAGGAGATGACACCTGAACTGGGCCTTGAAGGATGAAACTGGGTCTTGACAGGCAGCGAAGGTGACAGGGTAGGCCTTCCAGGCAAAGGGGACTCCTACGCACAGGCATGGAGGCTGCCAGAAGCTGCACCAGGTCAGCAGAGTGGGGTCCAGGACAAGAGTGTGATTATGGCCTGACTGCAGAGGGCTTGACTTCGAGGCTTAGCACGTGGGCTGTGCTTGCCAGTGGGAGCAGTAGGGTTCCGGGGCAGCAGGGTAGCGGTGTGGTTTGAGAGCAGGAGGACTGGGAGATGTCTGTGGAGGCAAGGGTTTGACAGCCTGGAGGTGAGGGGCGTTCAGAGGCAGGGGCTGGTGTAACGGTCTGTGCGTGAGACTGTGGTTGCGGAACAAACCCCACACTTTCCAGCTGTGCAGAAACGCCCAGGACAGTATTTCGGGCAGTCTCATGCTAGTCTCCTGTCACTTTCCAATGCCAAAAATCTGTGACTCCAGAAAGCAGGGGCAGTAGCTGCCCAGTGCCTGCCTCAAAACCCAACACAGAAATTTTAATTATATGTCTGTGAGTCTTTTTAAAGATTCTCTCTGTGGTTATTGGGCTTAGTGACACAGTCAGGTTTTAAAAAGGCCCAGGATGTGCGGCCTGAGGCGGATGTGGGCAGCACGTCCTGTCCTTGAGGTGGGGACTGGGTCCAGTGATGGGAAGGCAAGCAGCTGTGCTGGGCAGGGCCACGGGACAGAACATGTTTGGGCAGGAGGAGATAGACTATTCATCCCCAGGCCAGGGAGAACTAGAACATCAGTCATTTGGCCACACCTCAGGGCTGGGCATGCCACAGTTGCCCACCTGAGAGCCAGGCCATTTAAGATGTAGCGTGACACACGGCGGGACCCGGTCCCTCCCAGACAGGCAGCATTCAGGATCTTTGCTGGGTAATGGCCCCTGAATATCCACACCCCTGTGCCCTCCTCCCAACAGACACACACGTGCACACTCAGTGGACTTGGCGCTGCACAGACCACCCTGTTACGGGGCTGGGCAAAATCCTGATTTGAAGGTAGGTGTACTATAGTTAAGCAGGAAATAGGTGTGGGCTGTTGGCTGTCACAGGGTTTGGGATAGAGTGAAGGACGGTCTCTCAGACATGCTGTTTATGGCCCACTCCTCAAAGCATCAATTAAGTGCATCGGTCTCCACAGGAGGCTGACAGGTGGGTGCTGGGGTGCACTCAGGAAACACTGTCCACATGCCTGACATTGGCTTTATGTTGGATCCGGGGACTGAAGGAACAACCCACAAACCTGCCAGCTCCATGCGGGCACCAGGCTCTGTGGGCTCCTTTCCTCCTTCCCTTGCTGTCCTGCAGCCAAGGAACAAGCCCAGGGGTCACCTGGGGCTGGCTTAAGAGAGCCTTGCTCAAGTGAACTGACCCCAGTTCCAAACTTCCATCCTGTGGGCTTGTGGAACTGATAAACCACCCAGGAGTGCCAGCAGGAAATAGTCCACCCTGGCTGGTCCAGGCAAGCACTAGAAAGTGGGCAATTTTCAGGAAAATGGTAATTTTTATCAAAAATTAATGAAATTTCCTGGAGTGCATCATTAAAATAGACATTATTGAAAAGTAACTCCCTTCCTTTGCTGGATCTGCAGTGTTTCAGTGGTTGCTCCTTTGGATTAGGAAAGATATTTCTCAAAAGCAGGTGTTGAGGAATAGCATTTATTGGGACCTGGGAAAATGCCAGTAGTTGCTGGGCAGACTGACTGCCTCAGCCACAGAGACAGTGCTGCGGAGTGTGGACAGCTCTGGCCAACAGCGGGGCCTCTTGCTCACCAAGTACTTTCCCTCTGTGGCCCCAGTCTCCTCATCTGAGAATCAGTGACAAGAATACACGCATCTTTTCCTCATAGGGCCATGAAAGGGCTTTGTAAAGGCAGGGACCTTTGGATGGGAGGGGTGGCCATTCGTTAGGAGATAGAGGGGTGCTGACATCTAGTTTCCTAACTTGACTGATGTATGAACAGGTGGTGACATCCTGCCAGCACCAGCAGGAGGCCATGTCTGAACACCATAACCATAGAGGAGAAAAGGGAGACATCCGACTTTCTTTTTTTAAATAAAAGTATGGAATGAAAGAAAATACAACCAATGAAAACAAATCAGTTCAACTGAAAGGCATTTGGATGGCTTCAAGGTGCCTGCTTTTCGCCTGCCTGACTTAGCTGACACACTTAACCTTCTGGGCTGCAGTGTGCACGCCTGCAAAATTATCCTGTGCAGGGGGGTCTAATTAATGCTGTAAAAAGCCAAGTTTGTTACTCTAGTCAGTACTGGGTTATGGCCCAGAAAATGCTCCTAAAATATTATTCAGGAGCATTTCCTTTTCAGTGTACCTGCATCCCCAGCCTCTGCTTCCACATGTAACCAAGTGTGAAATCTCAAGCAGTCCGGGCTCTGAGAGGCAACCCCTCAGCAACGCCGGTGGGGTTGTCTCCCATGTTCTGAGCACTCTGTGCTCAAGAACAAAGCAAAAATGGACCCTTTCTTTATCAAAGTGCTACAGATCCCAGAACATTAGAGCTCAAAGGACAGAATCACTAAATCTGGTCTCCTCCTACTTTTGTATACATGCAGAAACAGAGCCCAGGGGTCCTGACTGTTGGTCTGGGGCTCTTTCCATTATAGTAAACCTTGACCATCTGATGCTGTAAAAAACTGCACAAAAACCAGGTTGAAATTTGCCAAAAATGCTTCAGAATTCAAGACAGGCACTCAAATACATAGCACAAAATGCCTATCACTGCTTCTCACCCCTCTGCTATTGTTTGATGGTTCACAGAGGGAATTTATGGGTTTTCCCAGTAAAACTGCTGTTGGCTGGGAAGTTCATTCCAGGGCACCTATCAGATTCAGATAAGACTGTGGGGGAGGTTTACTCCTTGCCCTGGCCTGTGTTCTGGGTCCCAGGGATCTGGGATATATCCTGCCAGGAATCTTCCCTCTGTGTAGGTTTTGGGAGGGACCACTGATATTTAGAACAAGGCTTCTGGGTAGTAAATTATTTCCTCCATCTGTAAAATCCTGGACAGGGAGTCTTAATTTTGGTGTCCCATAATTTCACCTTTGGGCATGTGGGGAAAGACTTCTGACTATGCTGCCTGCTCATGGTCTGGAGGCTTTATAAGAACACACACTCTTCCCATTCATTTTTTCCTGGTCACATCTAGTAATATTATTAATTCCTTTATTTCACAAATTTGAAAGCTAGTGCTTGTTGTATGCTAGTCACTATTTAGGTACTGGGGACAGTGGGGACACCAGCCCCTGTTCCCATGGAGCTTACAGTCTAGTGGGGAAGTCAGATAATTAGCAAGACAGCAAACAGATAAGATTGTTATATATGTAATAAGTGCTATGAAGGACATAAAGAGAGGGGTGGGGTTTGGAATAATGCAGGGAGTGCATGTGGAGTCGCTTATTTATGTTTTTAGCTTCATTCTGAAATAATTTTAGACTTAGAGACTAAGTTGCAAGAACAGCACAGAGACTTCACATACATCATTCACCCAACTTTTCTAATGTTAACATCTTATATGTTGTTGTTAGATGCAGTTGAGTTGGCTCTGACTCACAGTGACCCAATGTACAACCGAACAAAACGTCACCCAGTCCTGCGTTGTCTGCACGAACACTGACATATTTGAGTCCAGTTGAAAAACATTCTGTTCTGATCCATAGGGTTTTCATTGGCTAATTTTTGTAGTAGATAGCCAGGCCTTTATTCCTAGTCTGTCTTAGTCTGGAAGCTCCACTGAAACCTGTCCACTATGGGTAACCCTGCTGGTATTTGAAATACCAGTGGCAAAACTTTCAGTATCACAGCAAGCAAGCCACCACAGTATGACAAACTGACAGACGGGTGGTGGAACATCTTGTATAACCATAGAATAATTATCAAAACCAGGAAATTGACATTGGTATAATACTATGAATGAAACTACAGACTTTTCTAGAATTTCACTACTTTTCCCACTAATGTCTGTTTTTCTGCTCGAGGACTAAACCTAGAGTGCCACATTACATTAAATTGTCATATATCCTTAGTCTCCTCCAATCTGTGACAATTCCTCAGTTTTTCCTTGTCTTTCATGACCTTGACACTTTTGAAGAGCACTGGTCAGTAATTTTGTAGA